GAGCTGCAGCCTCCTGTCAAGTCTGAGAACAACAGGTCAATGGAGAACAAACAGCTCCGGCGGTAAAGGTTGGCGGCCTCCAACTCCTGCCTCCATGAAGAGGAGAAGCTGCCAACGGCCCAAGGCTGGGCACCTGATCACCGTATGTACCGAGGACGCTGATGAGATGTCCTGACAGCATAGTTGTGCACCGGAGCCCTTGCCTTGCTGCAGTGCGGAAGCTGCCTGCAGTGATGCTGAATGCCCTTCAATCTCGAACAGAACAAACACAACAGTAGCAGTTACTGAGTCTCAGTAGCGCCCTCGCCTCAGAGGCCTGCGCCGACCTTTGGTATACACAAGGTTGCTCGGCGATCGCAGTCTTTCCCGTGGTCTCAGTTCACAACTGTCGAGCTGCCAGCAGCGATGCTTGAGCTTCGCCTGAGAGCGCTTCGCTGGGGCATGTACTCCAAGAAAGTCAGGCTCAAAGCACTGAGCATGGTGCCCTGGAAAAAACCAGCTGTGCTTTCTTGAGGAGGCACCACCTGCCAGCTTTCCAATACTCTTTGACAGCATGTGCCACGCAACTGGGGGGTGAAGAGCAGCAGTGTAGTGTAGTGTTTCACTGAAGAGATGGCAACCACGAAGGGGATACATCAAAGCAGATCTTATGGAGGGTTCAAACCCACCGAATGAAGCTGTCAAATTGCTGATGGCCCGTTTGAGAAACAACACCGTGTCGATTTGTTCGTCAGAATCAGGCATCACGTTAGCGGAACCGAATCATAGCCAGTACATACCTGTACATGTTTCTCTGCCGCAGCGGATACAAGTAGGAAGAGCACAGTGGATAGCGGCCACGAACAACACTCGAGCAACCGAACATTCATGATCTGAAGAACGCGCAAGCCCCGTTTAATTGCCGGCTTGTCTATGACATCGTCAACAGCAATGGAGCCATATGGAACCAGAAAACTGCAACCAGTGCCTCAGCCTCTGTAGCTTCTTCCACCAGAGACTCTTCTTGCGCTGCATCATCCTGGTGTTCAGGGAGCTCCTCGAATGCGAAAGAGAATAGGATTTGCCGACATACTTTTTGGTTGGCGGGCGATCGGGATTTGGAATTTAAGGCATGTCAGGATTCGTGCGGTACGATTTTAATGTATTCATGAAAACCCTTCATCTCTTGGATGCGGTGGTCATTTCTTGGCAGTGGGATGTTTTGGCTTCATGATGTTTAGTTCCAGGCTTGTATGCCTTTCAGGACAACAGTGGTCGCACACAATCACGCATCAAAGCATGGCAGAGCAAGGCCCACTGCAGCCAGATCGCACCAGCATCCTCGTCTTGGGCTGTGCTTTCGTCCAAGACGTCCTGCTCCGCTGGAGGTATCCCAAGAAAAATGTTTGGCAGAAGTCGAGCAGTCTCATTTCCTCCTCCGAGGGCAGCACCACTTGCACCGACACGTCGATCTCCGGCGAGTCCGGCGCGTCCTCAGTTGCCCATGTTTCTTTGATGTCTCCAAGCATTCTCTTGCTCAGATATGATGATTAGCCCAGGCCTCCGCTGCAGCTTTGTCTGCCTCGGAATTGCCATCGGCTTCCTGGTGTGACCTTCGCTGGTGCCATTCTCGCGTGCACGAGGCTCTCATCCTTGAAATTGCCCAGGCGCTGGTGTTCGTCCGACCTTTCCGGGATCTCCTGGATGGCCTCCATCGGCTCCAAAGCCTCCAGGAGCTGCTCGGGCTTCTGAGGCTCTCCCTCTTCGCCAACGACGTCACCAGCTTCGCCAAAAGCTTCACCCTCAGCCCACCGAGAAGACGGAGACGGGGGAACCCCAATATAACCCCAATATAATCCCAATATAATCCCGACAATCCCTGTAGTTTCCATTTTTCTTTTCCATTATTCCCTATATAACCCCTGTATATCCCATTATAGTAGTTTCCATGTTCTTTTCCATTATTCCCTATATAACCCCTGTATAATCCCATTATACCATAGTAGTTTCCATGTTCTTTTCCATTATTCCCTGGGCTCCTGGCCTCGATGGATTCAACTTCCTGGGAACCAGGGCTTTGCTCAAGGCTCTGCCCACCACTCAGGCTTGGGATTATGTCGGGATTATATAGGGAATAATGGAAAAGAAAATGGAAACTACTCATAATGGGCTATATAGGGGGATATATACGGGTTAATTAGTATTGGGGATAATATTGGGATAATGGAAAAGAAAATTGAAACTACAGGGATTGTAGGGATTATATTGGGGTTATATTGGGGTTATCCTTCCAAAAGAAGCATGAACACACAAGATACTAAGCGATCGTTAGCTTTTCCATGCATGGCCTCCTCGGATGGTGGCAACCTGAGGCACATCAGCACTAAGACAGCCTTCCGTGGACAACTTCCAAGACCAGCCATCGACTTGCAAATCTTTTGGAGTGCTCCTTGCATCTACATATATATATACATATATATATATATGTGTGTGTCATGTCTATCTATTTATAACTTATTTGTTTCCTTATCATCTTCTGGGCGAGTCCAAACTCAATTTATGAATCTCATGGACTGGTTCGTTCATGCTGGTCAACTGTTTTCATATGGTAGCTTCCCCCCAAAAAAAGGGGGGCCCCAAATAATATATCTCCAAATACTCTAACCTTTTTGAGCATGGCTTTTGCACCAGTCGAAGAACCGAAATCTGGGTCTACGGCGGGCGAATCGGACTGAGAGGTTGCCATGCAGGTGCCTTCCTGTCGAGCGATCGAGAGAACTATTATCAAGCAACCCAAAGGGTTTAGGGTTTTTGGTTTGGTGTTTAGGGTGCAATCGATGCTGGTTGCACTGTACCCTTTGTTGTGTGCACTGAGTCCATAAGGGGTGCCCTGTCCATTCGGGGGCTGCTGGCACCGGAACAAAGTTAGGTAGTTAGACAGTCCTGCTGGAACAGCAGCATTCGCGGTAATTGCCCTAAAGCGCTGCGCACATTTTCACGACTGCAAGAAGTCTGATCCAGCCTGCCGATCTTAGGCGCCATCTGAACCATGTAGCTGTGCACCGTACCCTGCACAAAGCTTGTAGTCTGACCGTCACACTCCTAGCTATATGTACACGGCTAAAGACATTTGAGGAAGGCACGTCTACCCTCGCGTCACCTCCGACGTAACTTCCTAGACGGTTGAGCTGCTGCCTGGCAAAAACCAACCAATGTGTTGCCGCACAGTGAAAGCTCTGCTTTGATGAGGGCATGGCAGGACCTCCAACTCATGCCTTCGGAGGAATCGTGTCTGCCATAATGCTTCAACTGTGGCTCAGCTCTCAGCTGCCAGCTGCATCTTCTTCATGTCACGGTGCTGCTTCGCCTGTGCTGCCACTGGATGGAACTCAAGAGTGACAACTGCTTCAGCTGAGCTCAGCACAAGAACCCCAGCCAGCCTATCGAAAGCTTATGCAAAGAAAGTCCAGCAAAGTTCAAGGATCCCCTGCAGTGCGTTCAGCACCATTTCCCCTTGGTTGGAGATGGCCTCTGATGCTGCGCCTGGAGGATTCCACCCCAAGCCCCACCTGACAAGGATGGTTACAATGGGGTATTATATAATAGAAAAGAAAATGGAAGCAACTATTTAGGGCTCACTGCCAACACTCCAAGAGGCAAAAGATGCCGCCTCCTGGAACCTTCGGAGGCATCCACTGGGCGCGTTCTGGTGTGTCAACCCGCCTTGCCGGCAAAGTTCACCCTCAAAAGCAGAACCCAGAATTTCTGCGCACTGCTTTGAAACCTGGGATTGCTCAGCGCCCGGAGATGTCCCACTTGTTGGGACGCAGGCTTTCGGCGGACAGGCTTCCAGTTGGCAGGTTGCCTCTGGAAGAGTGAGGTCCAGGTCTGCTAGTACTATATGACTGTATGACCCTCACTGTCAAGTTCCATTCCATCACTGTGGAGGTCCTGCGCGGGACCGGATGGTCAACGATTGGCGGCAGCAAGCAATCCACTCCTCCAAAGGCAATGAACGCCCACTTCCCAAATCCAACATGGGTGAGATTTGCCTAGTCCGGCAGCGAAATATTAGATGCGTTGTCTTTGAACATTCAATGGAAATTGTTCAATCAGTTCAGCTCCGCTCTTGGTTCTGGGATGTTCCATCCCACTGCTTCGCATCTGAATCTTTTCAGTGTGCGTCAGCAAAGTAGCTAAACTCCTCGTCTCGCACCAAGTCGCGGCAGGGCCGGCGCGCTCGAGCTGCTTTTCAACCTGCAAAGGGTGGATCACAAGGAATGAATGCTTGAGGGTCTAGGGCTGACGGCGCAGGTTCACGGCTTGTGTTGGACTATCCAATTTGCTGGGCCACAGACACTCGGCTCGGTTCGTGTCGTCTTCTACTCAAAGGCTTGGCTTTAGAACTTCCAGCCTCGAGGCAGAACTCTGCGTGGCTCCGCTCCAAACCGGATACCTGGCCAAGCAAAAAGCTGAGACGCGGCTGTCATCACCTCTACCTCTTTGGAATAACGGAAAAGAAAATGGAAACTACTATTATAATATATTGGGGTTATAGAGGGATAATGGAAAAATGGAAGCTACTATTATAGTATATTGGGATTATACAGACGCTGCGGAAATGCCTGTGTGGCAGCTGCAGCTCGCCAGGATTTGGCTCTTGCACCGGCTGCTCCGGTTCCTGGGCACAAGTTGCAAGCTGCTTCTGGTGATTGATGGAGGAAATGCTGCACCAACCAAAATCCCCCAGACCAGAACAACAGTAGTTTAGGGCTGTAATTGGTGCTCAGCACGTCATCATCTATGGCACCGCGCTTTAGGTTTCCTTTACTTTTGGTGACTTGTGACTTCAATCAGCTTCTTCGTTTTGGCTCCAATGACCTTTACTTAACGTTTAGCCTCTTTTAGTCAGGGCCTTGTCTCGATCTCGAGACTCGGAGGAAACATTGCACCACAGCTCTGAGCCTTGAGCTCTCCTCCGCACAGCTGGTGCAGGAGCCTGCTTCGCTGGTCACTTGAAGCTAACTAAAGCCACCGCAGCATCTTCCTGCCTGAACTTCCCGCTTTTCTGCTGGAGCTTCTGGGGCTACCTTCAAGTAAACAGTGTCCCTCCTTTTGGCTTGGTCTTTGCTGCTCTGCACCTCTGCAACCTCCTCTTCTTGATCCTCCACTGCACCCGCATAGACCTTTGCTCGTGAGTAGTTTGGTCTGGGGAAGGAGCTGAAATTTTGCCTGGGTGAGGAGGCCATCAAAGGTAAGCATGGCCTGGTTAAACTTATTACGATTCTGGCTGTGGTGGCAGGTTGTAGTTTGGTCGCAAGCACTTGTACCTGCTTCATCCGACAGTGTAGGTGTAGGCATTCTTGTGACGATCCAGTTTCCATACTTGAGCTTCTGTTGAATTCGCAATTTGCTGTGAGCCAAGCACGGGGTCAGCTCTTGCTCGATGACTACCCATGCGCTTGCAAAAACATCATGGATGCAGAGCTCGCAGCACACAGAAAACCTAGCAGCCTGCTGGTAGTTGTTGGTCAGGGCCACCGAGAAGAACTCGCCGACGGAGTCGTCTCCCTACAGCTGAAAAGCAATTTCAAGAAGGGGCCCCAGGCACCGTCACAACCTTGAGCACGCAGGACGGGTACTTCCAGGTAACAGCAGAGCCAGTTTCCACCTGGAAGCCCACATCAGCCAACATGACTAACTTCTTGCATCCTCCATCCAGGCCTGGGTCCATGAAATCTTGGACTTCTTGCCCTCGCACATGCCTCGCTTCGTGACCTCAAGCTGAAGGACAACATGGCAACAGCCCCTGCTGAAGTCTCTGTACGCGATTCTGAAGCTGAAGAACCGGCCAGGTTGAGGATGCCGCCCTTGCCGTTCTTGTCTCCGGCATACCTGAGCATTGCCAAAGCTCAAGCGATCAGATCGGGCCAAATCAGCTCCGTGACCAGTTCTGCACCGTGGAGTACCTCCAAGGCAGTGCTCATGACGCTCACCAGAATGCTGGTCAATCCATCTCTGAGCTCACTTGATCTCCGCGGATTCAGCAGCGTGCAGCTCTACGACGGCAGCCTGTGCTAGGCTCTTCATACCTCCTGATCGATGCAGTTTTGCAAGGTCCCTGCATGCAGCTGCTTCGAGTCGAACATCGGGGCCTGCAAGCGCTGTCCATGATATATGCGCACAAACAAACCAGATGATCTGAGTCTGGGACAGTGCATCCCTCCAAGTACGAAACATAGCTGCTCTCATCTGCAATGAGCAAGGTGCGCTCAAACTGTCCAGACTCCTGCCGCACTCATGAAACACCACCACGTCACCGGGCAAGACCCCAGGTATGCTACCTGTCCTTGTTGTTGATTCGGAAGTATGTGGATATTTCCATGGGGCACGTGGTCCCCTTGGGGATGTAGCAGAAGGAGCCGTCGCTGAAGACGGCACTGCATCAGCTTAGCACACTTGATTGAAAAAAAATGTTGCGTTGGTAGCTTGCACTCGCTGCTCACAATTCAAATGACCAGGCATAGAATCTGAAACAATCCTATGTGTGACTGTATATATACATATAATCTCTCTCTCCACACTCAGACCCCAAGCCTGTTCAAAGCGGCGAAATAATTGTCGGCCACAGGAACCACAGATCCCAGATACTTCTTGACAAGCTCCGGGTGCTCCTAAGCAATGCCAACAGGCTCAGCTGCGGTAGGATAGCAGGACAAGTTTACGCTGCCTTGATGGCCTCGTTAATGGAGCAGAAGATCACACCAGCCTGCGGAACGTTAACAGGGCCACTAGTACCAGTAGTGATACTAGTACTAGTCCTACTACTACTCCTCCTACTACGTATTACTTCTACTTCTACTTCTACTTCTACTACTTCTACTTCTACTTCTACTACTACTACTACTACTACTACCACCCAACCATGTGCCTCCTCCAGCTCTTTCTGGAAAGTCGTGCCAATGCTCTCGCTGTCGAACACGGCGTCCACCGCAACGTTCGCCAAGCGCTGCAACGGCAATGTGCTCAACAGTTGTCGCGCATTTGTGCGAATGAAGTCAAAGAACAGGGTTCAACGACCATCAACAAAATCCATCTTGACACGAGGAAAGGTAGCCAAAACACATGCCCCAGAACAGCCCACTGCAAATGCAACAGTCCATAACCTTGCAACTGTGGGAACAGAGTACTCCAATTGCGTGCTGCTGATAAGCATGCTTTGTCACATTGCGCAGGAAATTCCACAACTGCCCACCTTCTGCTCGGTCAACGGGATGCCGAGCTTCTCGAACGTGTCCAGCAGCTCAGGATCCACCTGCACTGGCCACAACTTCACCGGGAATCGGCTAGATTCTTATGATAGAAGTCTGCAACAGACCTCGTCTAAGCTCTGCTTCTTCTTCTTGGTCTTGGGTCTGGAATAGTAGACGATGTCCTTCCAAGGAAGCTAAGCAGTCTCTAAGGTAGGTCAATGAGACGGCAGCTCCTGAAAATCAATCTCTTCCATCTGAAGATGTGCCCACTCTGGCATCTCCATCTTTTGCCATTTCCTGCTAGAAATGGGACACACACAGGCTCAATATGAGCGGATGCGTCGCAGCCCTTTGGCTAAATGGCATCCCAGTCCGGAATGCATTCAAGCGAAACTCGAGCATCCACTCGGGCTCTTCTTTGATCTCCCAGATTTTTCGGACAATGTCCTGCACGCCACGCTTAGTGAAGATTTACACTCGCACTTCATACCAACTGACACGACACAGCCAGCAATCACAGCCTCATTCAGACCCTTGGGCAAGGATTCCGACTCGATGTTCGTATAGAAGCCAGCGGTGTATTCCTGGGGCGCACGCGACGCATGTTTCTCTGCTTTGCGCAAGAAGCGCTTAGCAGCCTGGTCCAGCACCTCTCCCAGCTCGGCGTTCTGACCGTCCCGCAGGGCCACTGCCTGAAGGTGCGTGCTCCGTGCAGCTGCTTGTAAGCAGCCCCTCACAAAGCTACTGATCCATTGGGGGCACGACGTCCTGCTTGAGCTCCACTGAGCGAACCTGGTACAACATGCCGGCTGAGGATTGCAAGTGGACTGAGTCTCAGTGAAGCCTTCATCAGACTGTCTTCTGCAACAAAATCAAAGCGCTTGCAATGCTTGTAATCCAAACGCATGCCTTTCAGCTTTGCGACTGTGAACATCTCCTTTAGAGATGTCAGCGAATCCACGTAGCTGTCACTAGCAAGAGCTCACAGCTCTGCGCCACGTCCTATGTACATGGGCCCAGCTTGCTGACAAGCTGATCCGGACGGCTCACAACAGCCCAAGTGGGCATCCTGACTTCCCCCACAGCACGCGTCCTGATTATGAGCGCCAGGCGCTGATGCAGGACGCAGCTCGCTTTGGAGCAAACAATGGAGCCAACTTGGGGAGCTGGATCAAACGCTTGCCAGTGAAGCAGGCAATCACTTTGAACATGCTTCTATCTGCCTCTGCATGTCGTAGCACTGCTGGAATCCAGCTACAACAAGTGAACACGCAAACAGAGCGCTTCAAACTCCCGAGCTCTGGAGCAACTGGAACACCAGGCATGGGGCCTCAAGAGGATGGCTCCAGGAGCGCAGATGCACCCTTGAAACCAATATGAGGTGGGTGCATTCAGATTTGAAGGCTGGAGGCTTCTTTAACAAAGTTGGTCAGCTGTATGGTTGGAACACTTTCAACTCAATGTTGGACACGGTTTTGGGGAGTGGGGTCTGAATACTAAAATTTTCCGAGAAAATCATTCAGAATCTGCTATTGTTTGAGGGGGTTGGAATAACAATTTTTCGGGGGCCAAGATACAAAACATCTTACCTAAGTTAGGTTTGCTTTCAAGGCCTTCAAGAATCTGTATTTCGAAGTTTTAGCACCAAAGCTTTTACTTATGAGGCCTGATAGTCGAGAACCCGAAAGTCCGTAAACTCAGAAATCAGCTCCATGTAAACCGCTTTTTTCGGGATAGTACGAAAACTTAGGGCCGTCAAGTTTCGTGGCGGGGTAGTCCAGTAAGGCCTGGATCCTCTTTAAGCAATTGTTTGGGGGGGGTCGGAATAATGTACCTAATTTTTGACCGGGATAGCTTCTATTTTAAGCTGCTTTTCTTCTAACAATTCTACTAATTGGATTTCAACTGGTTGTTAATTTGATTTGAATTAGATTTCCATTGATTCGAATGGGATTTCAATTCATGTTGAAGAGAACTTAATTAAATCTTATCGTGGCTTTCGTGAGATGTTCAATAGGTTTCAATTGATTTAAACTTGATTTCAATTGGTCTTACTTGAATCTTGACTGATTTTGAAGTAGGTTTCCAATTGAATTTGATTCGGTTTATCTAAATTGCAATTGGATTGTATTTGATTGGAATCAGGCTTTAATGCTTCTGTTTTTACCTGAGCTGCACCTTATTTGACCTTTCTGAGTTTTGAATAGGTTTCCAGTTGGTTTACTAGGGTTTTGAATGGCTTTTAATGCTAATGATAGTGCCGGTAAACACAGCAATAGAGAAAGAATACCAACTTCAAGGCTACAACCGAGATTCCTACGTTTGCAAATTTGAGGGGGGTGGCCCGGTGTTCAAGAGAATAATGGTTCTTCAGGGGGGGGAGCTATACTAAGCAATCTAAGCAGCGTCCAACATTACCATCCAGGCAAGCGATTAAATCCTTCGATAACATCCAACATTAAAAGATCGTCAGTTACGACGATCCAGCTCATGTAAGCAAGCGCCTCCAACCAGCTTATCTGACTGACAAGCCGCACCGCTGGATAGGCCCAAAGCTATCCGAACAAGTCTTGTGCCTGACTGACAAACACGGTGACTAGTAGGATGATTTGGGGCAGCGTGTGCACACTGACCAGCCAGCGCCGTTGCACACGTTGCCTCAAAGCGTCAGAGGGTTGCAGCATGAAACGTTCTCGCGCCTACTTGCAGCCGTGAAGAATTGAGTCACACAAAGATCTTGCAGCGAAAGCCCAGTGCAGAATCGCAGGATATCTCATGGTGAGGCTAGGAGCAAGCCCTGCTGACTTTGTAGAGCGCTATGACCATGAAGAATGAGGAACGGCTTGCTTTACGCGGCTCGGCGTGATGCAAACAGAGCTGCTTGCTTCTCTGCTTTGCTTTCGAGGTGCACCGCAGCGCAGCAGCGCCAAAGCACTCTTTGCAGGTCAGCGGGGCGCCCCAGCAGGTCTGAAAAGAGAAATTGGACATGAGAACTCATCAAGGCATGCAATTGTTTACAAGCACGGCTCCTGACATCGTCGCCCCTTCACCGTGCTCAAGACTGCGCCGTCCAGAGCTCTTCTGCTTCTGGGGCCCCCAATGCCCTGCACTCAGAGCTCGCAGCAGGCTGAGTGAATTGCTTGGAAGCATTTTTTTCGCATCCTCCAAGTTGTCGTGCAGCTGGCCCCGCCCGCGGCAAGCCGGGCACGGCAACGCTGGCCTCGGGCTTTGGGCATGTGAGCTATGGTCTAAACGCCTTGTATCCGCCTTGATACTCCTTACAATAGGAACCCTATATCATCCCCTATATAACCCCCTTTAAGGAGTTTAGACTATAGCTCATGTGGATCTTACTTCTGATAGCATGCATCAGCCCAGGGCAACTGCATTCCGTCGCAGGTGCTGCAAACGAGGACTCCGTGCCCTCCGCAGCCTTCACAGCTCCTCAGAATCTGCTTCACACACATGCTGCAGCTGCTTCCGACATGGGATACTACCTCTAGAAATGGGGCAAAATCCCAGCCAAGCCTGCGCCCGTAGCCATCGCAGAATCGGCAATCGCTTAGAGGCTCAGCCTGCATTACGTTGGAGTTTGAACATGCTTGAACTGATCATTGAAGAATACTTCCCATCCTCATCAGCTCAATGAAACAGACTGACTCCTGGAAGCGGTCACTGCCCCGGATGAACAACCATGGCCGAATGAGCTTGACTTCACCCAAGAATATGTAGTGGGCCAGACAGACACACCATCGGCCAACTCTGAAGACACGCTTACTCGATCCATCGTCTATCTCCAGCCAATATGTCACATGGGAGTGTTCGGTGGTCACCGCTATGTCATCACAACGCATATGCCCAAACACGCAGCGCCCAATTTGTGAACTGTCCAGCAATAGAAAAGGGAATCATCAAAGGACATCTTGACAGAAAGTCCGTGAGCGTGTCCTGCGCCAATGGTCTGAATTTCTACACAAGCAATCTCTGTTTTAGGGACCTCCCAAACTGAATTGTAGGGTCACCGACCAAACGCTGAAGGAGCGACATGCATCAAGCACCGAAGAATTGCCACAAGCAGAGGCGGCCTGGACCGTTGGCTGGATACTCGGCCTTTCTACCTCCTCTTCCACATGGCGGCCCGGGAATTGAGAACCTGATGCAAGAAAGACTTCCTGGCCGCTGGGCAACTTTCAAGTGTGTCACGACAGCTGGCCTGGCGGGTACAACTCCAGTGCCAGTTTCGCACTGGCACCCTGGATCCTGAGGACGACCAATGCATGGTTTGAGAAATACTTTGGCTGTATCCCCGCAAGCCAATGCTGCACGGCAGCAGACCGACAGCCACTCCGCCGAATGAAGGCCTGCAGCATCTACTAGCCTAAGCCTCCTTAGTGCGTGGCAGCAAGCAGAGCCTGTAGAGTTGCTGTGGCTGGAAGAACCGGCGCAAGGTTCCTGTGAGGTTGAGCTCCGCAGTCACCGCAGCAACCTCACTTCACACTCAAAGCACAGCTCAGGCCTTTAGGCAATCCCGGCCTCCTGGCCGAGCAGAATGCCCACCACCACAGACTCCTGCACATTTCCCATTAAGGATCTCCTATAAGGCAATGCGAAATCGCTTGAAGCATCTGTAGGGAGGTCCTGACCCTCCTTGAGACGTACTTTAACCTCACCTTTGCACCACGAACCGTGGGGTAGCTAGCATCTTGATGACAAATCCCTAAACACGGAGAATTGAAGCTGCGTCCCTGGAGAGCCCTCGGACTTAGGCCCAAGCCAGGTCGTTCCCAAACTGCCTGCAGCTTTGACGAATCGAACTTCATGGAACCTGGACGTTTCTTTGGGTCCCTCAGCCCGCCTCGCAGACATCGCCCGAGACCTCTGCAAACATGCGAGGCTCCGCACAGCGATGCCTGCACAAACATGACATTTTCGAGGATTTTTTGCAGGCTCTCAAATCTGGCACCTTCCTGGGGGACGACTCTGTGCCTCCGGGAGAACGGCAGCAGTGGCCTGAGCTTTAGTTGCGAAGTTGCTGATTTGTCCAGGGCTTTCCAATTCGGAGAGGTTCAGATGATTCAGCCTGGGGCAGCCGCCGTGCTTCGGTCAATCATGTTCTTGCCCTCAAGGAAATAGCCCAAGCCTTTGTTTCCCGGCACGTTCCGCTCTTCCTTGCGGAGAGGAAGGCCCTTGATGGAGAGAACCTTGAGGATGACATGTGTGGGGAGTCCAGGGAAAGCCTCTGGCGGAGGCTCACAGGCCACTGCAAGAACATCCTGTGGAACTTGCCCAGGACGAGGTATGACAAGACCATCATCCGAGTCCGAGTCATGGAGCAGTCCAGCAGTGCTCAGTGTTGGGAAGAAACTGGCGGCCTTGGCGTACGCCCCCTGTCCAAGGTCTGGCGAGTCTGGCGAGTCTGGTGTATCGGGAGTCCGGTCAGGAGACTCGTTTTGTGGGGCCGGCTCCTCTTCTGGCGGAGGCAGGTCCAAGAACGCAAAGATTCCTGCACCAGCCATTTAGGCCATAAGTGATAAGGCACTGCCAAGTTGAAGGGACCATTACGCGCACAAAGCAAACTTGGTCCCAAGAAGTGCGAAGCTGGAAAGGACTGCCTTGCTTTTTGTCCAGCTTGAAAAGGTTGCGGGTAAGGAACTTAAAGTACCTAAGTTGATAACTCGAATGTGGCATAAATTACAAGCAAAGGTTTCCTCAATGTTGCTCTATGAACTGTCCGTGACTCATGGCTTGAACCGTAAGCTCTGATGTCCAGCCATCAGCTTTGAAAACACAAGTCCATGACTTCGACAAGTGAGATTCTGCCTTGACGCTCTTTCTGTTGGCCGACTTGGCCTCGCGTCTCCTTTCCAGATCACGTGTGTGAACTTTTCTGAACTTCTGAACCCTGATTCCACCAGTGCTGCAAGACAGCCCAAGGGATTCCTGAATCGCCGGGCAGCTGCTGCCGTGGCAGCACCCACCGTCAAAGCCTGGTCTCGCAGCCGCGATGACACATGCATGACAGCTAGAATCTAAACGAGCTCCCTAAAGGCAGCTGCTTTGCAATTTGTTGCTCAGGTCATGGCACAAGCACCGGTGCTGAAAGCCTGTGAGGAGTGCTGGCTGTCGATTGCCTGACAGGAGCAACAGGGCAAACCAGTGCCCAAAGCAACAGCAGCCAGACACAACCAGCATCAAGATGAGCTCAAGATCTCGAAAGTGTACATGCTTCCGGCTGGAAACCGCGCTTCGAACTGACTCAAATATAGCTGCTTAAGCGAAAGGGGCCTACACTTATCAGAGCTGTCTACGTTGAAAGAAACTCAACTTATGCTTTCTCACCTGGTGGCTTCTCCTGCAGCGGCCGAGGATGCTGGTGAGCTTCAGTACGTCTCTGCAGCTCTTCGCTAATGACCAGAAAGGCTTCTTTTGCAATATGGAGTGGAATGTACGAACTCCTGCAATCAAACCCTTCAGTACTTGTTTGTGCTGCACGTCATCCATGCGACATCAGAGAATTTGCGGATACAACTTCTCCGTCAACCCTAGAATGACCACAACCTGATGCGCTGTGCCTGGGAGGCAGCATTGACTGTAAGCGGCGGTGAACTCCTTAGCACGACTATAAGCTTTGTTCAGTTGAGCTTCCTTGTAGTAAAAGCCAATCATTGCGTTTCAGTCTGCGAGTTGATGTGATGTTGCTGAGATGCCTTGGTAGCTGTGCAGGGGTCACAAACGCCAGATCCGTCATGGAGCCTGTCCATACAGACCAGGGTAGTCTAAGCTTGACAACTGTTGCATGTAGACTTCATGTCCAGGGCAACGCATGCATCCAGCCTGTCTTCGACACGATCCAAGCCAAAAATCCGATCTTTGGACGCAATCTCAGGATGCTTGCAGAGCTGATTTGTTAGTGGTCTGACGATACTGCGTCATGTGTCATGCTTGAACATTTTTCCATGGAGGAAGTTGACCTAATCCTGTTGAGCCAGAGTTTGAATCGCATGGTCGTCCGGAAAATTGCCAATCACAAGGCGCAGCTGAAGATTGACCATCATGGCGGGCTCCTATTCAAAGCCACCGCTGGGCCGACTACTACAGCCGCAAGTACTTGGGAGCAGCAGTGAGCATGCGTTGTGCTAGAATCAGAAGTCCACATGCAGACTCATTCAACCACGCGCTCAGAAGCTCACTTGGCCCTACAAGTCCAAGCTAATTATAAGGACGGCAAAGGATTGTCAAATTGAGATTTTGGATGCTGCGCGCCAAAGAGATCGAAGGCATCATTCATGATGATTCACATGCACATCCCTAGTAGCAACAGCACCAGCAGCTGCAGCCGCAGCCGCAGCAACAGCAGCAGCAAGATCTGCTACTACTGCTGCTACTGCTACAACTACCACCACCACCACCACCACCACCACCACCACCACCACCACCACCACTACGGCTGCTGCTGCTACGACGACTACGACGACCACGAGCACGACCACGATCACAACCACGACCACGACCACTACCACAACCGCGACCACGACGACAACGACAACCACGACGAACAAGACGACGACGATGACCACGACGACGACTACGACTACTACTACTACTACTACTGCTACTACTACTACTACTACCACCACTACTACTACTACTACTGCTGAAAGCCACAGCACGTGTAGATGCTAACAAGCCACAAAAGAAGCGCAGTGTCAACATTTCGCAGGTTGGATTTGCAGCCAGTGAACGAATCCTACATCAGTCTTTATACGCCAAGTTTCCATTTTCTTGTCCGTTGTTTCTCCGTTATTGGGGTATATACCCTATGCAAGTCCTGTGCAATGTAGTACCCATACATGTATACATACATAACTTGTCTAGAATCACGTCTATTTGATTCTCAATTTTCTTGTCCATGTCATTCCATCATTCCTATATACCCCTATATCACGCAAGATACCCCCATATTATATGGGGGTATCTTGGGTGATATAGGGGATATACCACGCCCGTACATACCTTATACCCCTATATACCCGTATAGACCCTATATGCCCCCATATACTCGTATGTACCCCTACATACCCCTATAGCCTACATCTTACAGCGGCGGGCCAGGCCACAGTCTGACTGTTGGAGCTGTTATATATATAGGGGATATAGATATTCATATTAGGTCTCAAATAAGATTGATCTAGGGTATTCTACAGGGGTTATGTGGGGCTTTTATAGTGGTGATATACGTGTTATATGAGGGATTTAGGGATATATTACTCCCGATAATGGGGAATCAAATGGGAAAGAAAAGCGAAAATGAAATGGAAAAGAGTGCAACCCTGACCCTTAACCCTGGTCACGTGATCCTATTTTCATCACGCCTCATGCGGTTTCGATATGGCGAAGCTGCTTTGCCGTCTTCCTCTGCAAGATTAGACAAGCAGCAAGACTCACTTGAAGATGGTCAGCAGTGAGTCCAATCTGACTGATTCAGTCACTTACCTGTTTGCAGGCCTCTTCAAATGCTGGGCATAATCCTCTTTTGTCGTGTACTTCGGTTTGAGCTTGTCATCGCTGTCAAAGGCAGTCAGTTTCCTGCGTCACAAAATTTCACACGCAACACTGAAACGCAACATGAATCCTGAAGCCAGTGTCATTGCAGGTCTGCAGTGCCATGCTTGACAAAGGTCATCCACCGGTCAGCATGCAGTAAAGAAGAAGAACTGCCGAGGGTCTTTGTGACCCACTTGTCCAGCTCTGACTCGAACTTCTCCAGGTCGGCCCTCGTTTTCCCATTGATGGAGATCAGCTCCACATCAAAAACGAGGTCTGCATTCGGAGGGATCTTGCCTAAGAACTTCGGCATACATGCAGACACGGCGAGGGAGTCCCACAGGCTGTTGCTTTTACGACCGGAAACTCTACAAGGCAAGAAACTTCCGTCTCCGTAACCAGACTCGCCATATGCCAAGTCTGAACCTTAGAGGCAGGAACATCCTGCTTGACTCACGCGGTTCCGTCAAAGCATTTGATGCATCTTGCTAAAGGCTAACGGGTGAACGAACCATTCACAATGCCAATCAGACACAGATTCAATGGGTGTGCTGATCTGAGCATCAGAAGAGAAATTGTTAGTCAATGTCAGTAACTAAGCCATACAAAGTAAAGGTTGATGCACAGATTGCTATGGTCTGGTAAGTTGCTCGTTGACCTTGCAGGAACCGGGGATGAGGGAAGCATCCCGAACTTGCACATCTATTTGGTCTTGGTTCTTGGCAAATCACGCATGGCCTTTCATAGCTTGTCGTGTCTGCGACTGACATCTGCGACTCTCCATGCACAGAAGCCAGGCTCCCTGCTGATTCGCAATGTAGCCCTCTCGCCGAGCGACAGTTGCAGCATGCCTTCCTCCCAACCTCTGATCACCTGCTGAAAGGCTTGGAAGGCTACGGCTCTCGGATGGCACCTGGTGATACTTGAGCCCCAGCCTGGGCAGGTTCCATACCCACCACAAAGGAGAAGGGCTTGCCACGGTCTCGAGAAGAGTCAAACTTTCGTCCGTCAGCTGCCTCATGTCACGGTGTAACATAGCTGGCGACAGGCCAAGAATCGGAGATGCACCAAGTCACTAACATCAGCTGATCCACAGAGCACCACACGGAATCAAAAATGCCGACACAACATGCCACTCTGGTCTGGGCGGATGGCCAATGTGCCAGTGTAGTGAACCTCCGCGTGACTTGCATGCAGGAGCGGGAACGAAAGCGATTTCCCACCTCCAGACGGTTCCCTTTCTGCGGAAAGGTCTTGCCCGTTCCTGCTTGCTGCACTTCCACCTGTGCCATCTGCGCTATCTGCGCCATGGGTCTTAAAGTCGATTACCCTATCCAAGTGCAGACTGGATTGCGTGCGAAACCCTGATGTCTGGCGATCTACTTGACTGTTCACCAAGACTTGGCTTGCACCTACTGGAGCCTCTATAGCCTCTGGCCTCCACGCCCATGGCGATGAGGTTCACACTATGGGCCGCTGGACTTTCTCAGATTGTCGTGATCGTGGCCGCTTTCAGTGGGCGTGCTTTGTGGCTTCTTCATGATCCGGCAAATTGCGCTTCATGACTCGGATCAGAAAGAGGACCTCTGCGCATGCGAGCTTCATCGAGCTTCTGAGATAGACCAAGAGCGGAGGCTTCGACTTCTCAGCGATAGAATTCCAGACTCTTCATGACTCTTTTGGAGACAGCGCTGCCTCTGCATGACCAAGGCATTGCATCCTGACCTTTCGCTATCAGCAAGAGGTCGTGCTTGCAGCTCTTCTTTGTCGTGCTCTGGTGGCAGACAGCAAACTAATTGTTGGCCGAGTTTTCAGCATACCAAACAGTTTGACACCTCATTGGTGTCCCTACAATGCCTACTCACTAAGAGTCTGAAGAGAAGATGTCCGACAGCTCTTCGGATCCTGGTTTCAGGCTGGGGCAGCTGCATGAAGCATTGAAACTTCATAGCTTCCAACACATACACGGGCTCGGTTGTGGGTTCTATCCATCCGAAGTCAGCCGCAAATGTGCAAGTCGACACTCTTGAAGCTGGGCTCTGCACCTCCTTCAGCCTCACGAGGGTGCAGGTCCTCGAACCTCTTACCATGAGCGCTGCTACTTGCCAATCCAGGCTGCAGGCCCTCAACTAGCATGGCTGTGACGCTAACATTTGGTTGGGTGCCCAACCCAGCACTTGGCTGCCACTCTGCAAGGTTGCGTGGGATTCCAGCAAGCACTTCCCGGAAGTAGCCGGCGTGCTCACGCACGCCGAACCTGAGCGTCATGGTATCTTAAGTTTGCGACCGAAGATACAAGCAAGCGGAGACAATGCTCTGCAACGAACTGAAGGGCAAAACAACCACAGTTTGGTCTGACAGCAAAGCGCATCACTCCCATAGAAGCCAGGCAACTCCACCAGAGCGGACAAAAGGTTGACCTGCGTTGTCTACCAAGTAACCAAAGCAAATGGCTCAGTTGCAACTTGCTCAGGTACTTCTGTTTATCATGTTGGCCTAGAAGCTGTCTGCCCAGCTACTATACTTGGGCAAGTAGAAGTCTTCTCTGTCCGGTACAAGTAGCAGTTTGCGCCTGAGCGCTTGTGTAAGAGATCAAGGACCGCGGGTTCTGCTTCACCATGGAGAACTGGGGGAAGTTGGCCTTGGAAGCCCAAGGGGCTGGACATATTGAATGCATATGTTGGCCACTTTCCTGAGAGGAACAAACATGCCCTTCTTTCCCTTCGCAAGCTCCTGCCAAAGCAAGGCTCCACAGTGACAGTGGCAGCGTCTAAGGTTTCTCATCAGGGCCACTGTCTCCTTCTGTGTGTCTGCAGGCAGCTGGTTCTCAAAGACTTTGCTGTTATCCAGGTGATACACGAGGAGCTTAACGGTCCATCCTACATGAAGATTGTAACATGCGACAGAAGCTTCACGTAATGGACGCGAGTTCTTGCCACTCTTGCATCTGCAGTGCCTCCTTCGATGCCCCACCTTCAAGCAGCACAAAGCGGTAGCTGTACGTAGCTGTCTAGCTACAGGGAAGAGCCGGCTACAGGCTCTGTGGCCCGCACCAGCTGTTCTTGATCACCTCCAGATCCCTCAGACTCACGGCTGGCCTGCCAGCCCGCCTGTCAAACTACTTCCACCGTCTGGGGGTATATGCAAACTGCTTTTTGCGCACTGCCTATGTGTCTGCAGATCGCACAGGATTGGCTGGAGGTCTTTGAAGCGAAAGACCTAACCCGCTCCCAGGCCCAAGCATTGACTGCGCAGATCCTGTGGAGCCTGGTTGTGCATCAGAAATGATCCGTCCACGTGGGCTCCCAGTCCGAACTTGTCCACAAAGTACCATGCGGCCTCAGAAGTCAAATGCCCCTTGACAACGGTGCAGTCCAGGGAAGGTTGAAAGCATGAAAAAGGTGTGCAGCCAGGGCTCTGCTCCGCTTAGCTCTCCCGGGTCCCTGTCACTGTCAGGCTTCCTTGCACTGTTTTGGCACACGATCTGAAACCTGAGATCCGCGCACTGGGACGAAGGCGCAGAAGTCCTCGAGTGCACCAGTTACATGCATTCTCTTTGACTACGGTGGAGCTGTTCCATGTTGCTATGATCAAAATGACCCGCTCCGACTTCATGCCGATCTTGACGTCCGTGTCAAGGAACATAGCAATCCTTGGCACCTCCGCGGGCTCAGCAAAGAGTACCAAGTACCAGTCTTAGGATAACTTACAGCCTCAACAGCACCTTCTGAGCCTTTATCCAAGCCACTCCTGGAAGAGACAATTTCGGTCTGGGAGCAGATCAATTATCAATTAAGTCCTGCGGTTCCAGTCAAGTCGAGGTCCCGAGGTGGCTGCATTCAACGAGCACATAAGAATATCACTTGGGCTGTCTTGATTGCATCTGTGTCTGGCACGTCTTTTCTGGTCTTCTGGTTCTTTTTGCAGCTGACACGGTCATGTTCTAAAGCAGACCTTCACTTGGTATTTAAAAGCAGGTAAGGAGACTCATCATGAAAGGCGCAGTCAAAGGTCTCGTTTCGAGTTCGGGAAACCAGAGAAGCTACGACAAAGTTTTCTTCGCAGGAAACACTGCATTTTGAGTCGGAGACGATGCATTCAAAACAAGTGCGCAGCATCTGGTTTGCAAGACACTTGAATTAGAAAGTCATTTTGCAACTTGGACGTCCATTCTTGGATAGATCTCTTCAAAGCAGCATCCCGCTGATGCATAAGTCCGAGTAGAGCACGTGCTGACAAATGAAACAGTGCCACAGGATGATGAAGCATGGAAGCTCTAAGTACTGCGACAAAGCTTGTGGTGCTGGCCTTCCGCTGCAAAGCTGGCATCAAGCCGGAGTTGTCCATATGGCCACCATCGCCAATCTTGAATTTGGCAGCTGCCTTCAAGTCAAGCGATTCAAGAAATGAGGACCAAGGTATGTTACTGTTGCAACATCAATAATAGACGAACATCACAGGCACATTCCAAAGCCATATCCGGGCCTTCGGACCAGGAAATCTCTTGGACGTCACCGGCCACAATGTCGACACTGGGATCAAAGCCTCCCAGCTACTTTTCTTTAGGTTTCTGTTGATTGGAATTGAGGCCCCAAGTACTTGCAGGGTTTGGCGAGATTGCTGCCTGTGCCGTCTGCCCGCCGAGCACATCCATGGCTTGCGAGGTCAGCGCCGAAAAAGCAGCACTGCTGACACCCACTGCCTGCCGTTGTAGCTTCTGGGTGTCTGGCATCCATGTCTTGTTAGTTACAGCACGCCCCCTCAGCTAAAACATTACGAGGGAGCCGAGACGGGGCCTCAAGCCCACGCAACCCCATACTGCAGCAGTCTGTACAAGTAGCCAACCTTCGCCAGGCTGAAGGGCTCGGAGGGCGAGGGCATTTTGACATGATGCCCTGTCCAAGGAAGTTCTTCTAACAGCAGCCAGCAGGAGGCGTCTCAAGGCAACAGGCCTCCAGACTGGCTAGAGAAGGGCGTGTCGCTGCCAAAGGCAAAGGTCTCAACCATGCCGCCTCCTATAACCTAACCAAGCACAGGAAATGCGAAAGAAACCAACAAGGAGCCAAGGTCTCGGCCATTTTCAGGGCTGGAATGTCGGACCGGTGCAACCAACGCTCACCCTCTTCATCGTACTTCAGCTGACCTTCGCGTCCTTAGAATGCCAGGCAACCTGCTGCACACATTGCGGTGCAAAAACAACTGCTGCTGCTGCTGCAGCTGCATGCGATGCCTGACCTGACCTCAGGAGAATTTCCGGGCAGGCGGCCAGGATAGAAAGGGCTGCCAGAGAAGTCCGGAGACATCTGCAAAGACCTTAGGGCATGCTTGGTTGCTTAGCTAGGACTGAGTTCATCATGGCAGAAGCCCTGTACTCAGCAGCGCGCACGACCGTGTCATCGGCCGACTCATGACCGAGAGGAGCCAGGAGAACTCCCAACCTTTGAGAAGGCAAAAGCTATCACAACTGGGGATACATGCATCCCTATAGTCATCCTGAAGCAAGTAGAAACTGTCGTTCTTCAAAAGAAGGGACAAAGTATGTTCACAATATCTCCCAGGAATGTTTCCAGAGCACAGTTTAGACTCCATAGCCTGTCAACAGACTCCGAACAGTAATTCTATCTATTGATTTCAACGTACCTATTTTCCAAGTGCGTAACCCCTCCCAAAGATCGAAAGCCATATACTCAAGGATGACTATGTGCAAACTTCCTGCATCATATTGAATATGTGTATATCATAGACACATACGGATACAGAATGCCATCTTCTTTTCTTGCGACACGGCGGCATGACGAAGGCCCGCGGTCTTTCTGGGGCCGGGATGATGAAGTCCTCCAAAGCTCCGAATAATGCAATCACGAGGCGATGTGGGCCATACAAATCACCAACATCCTCGCGTTGCAGATGGGGATTATCACGGACAATCCGCTGCACTGTGTTCTCATCCGGAGCCATATACCTCTCGCTATGTGTAGAAACATCCTGTGTTTAGGTGCAATATGTGCCCTAGCGGCGAAGTCTACAGGCATCTTCAGAGCAAACAGGACATCAGAGGCACAGCACAATTACAGGGCACTTGCTCATGTTGCCCAAGCCAATGGGCTTCAAAAGGACCTGACCAAGCAACAACATTTGCTGCTGACTTGTAAGGCATGCAGGACATGTGCAGCCAAGAGGGAAGGAAAGCCAGCGCCTCGTTGAACGCGTTCACCCAAATCCCGTGAGGGTCATCGTTGTTGAGAAACGATGACTTCAGTAGATCTTGGCAAGCAAAGCAGTTTTGACCCCGGGTTGTGGATGCAAAAGGCTGCGGCCATAGATGTCATGCGTAGCCGAATCCTGATGTGTCAGGGGCTTGCCTGATGGTCTGCAGCTGGTTCATCGAGGCACGGACGCCTATTAAGGATGGCCGCTTAGTCAGCTCCTGCAGCCCAGGATGATCATAGGAATGACACGAGGAAGTATTCGAATACAGAGCTTGAGCTTGAGCTTAAACTATGAACTGGCAGCTGCGCTCCTCCAATGAAAGCTCTGAGGGGCGCGTGGGGTTCCCCAGCAGCCGCCCCTTGCTCAGGTCGTGTGAGAACCTTAGAATTCAAGCGATTCCTTTGCACACATTCGCCAACCGAGCCAACTCAAGGCAGCCAGATTGCATGAAGACAAAAATAGTTAGGTTAGCCTACTATGCCCATCCCGTCACCGTGTAACACTTCGCATGTCAATCAGTCGAACAGAATTATCCGAACATGCTATGGGCAATTCAAGCATGTCACAGCGACATGCTGCTTGGCATGGCTTGGGCCTGTGCTGAAGTGAAGGTCTACGTCTTCTCTTGGCAGGAGGTTCTCAACAAGTAAACTTGACGCCCTAAAGCTTCCACAGACGATCCTTCTACAGGAAAAAGACTTCGGAAGAACCGCAAGTAAAAGGAACAAAAGCAAAACTCACTTTGCGTAGGCAGCATGAAGGGTCCAGCTGTCCACGTACCACCAGACACCGAAACCAGGAGATCGGTGCGGACAAGCAAGTTCAGGTATTCCAGGCCCCTCAGCGCGCCGATCGCTGCAACCATGGCCCTGGTACCACCTCCACTCAGGCAAATCGCTGTCTGCAGGTTTGCCTGCCAGGGGTAGACCAGAAATGGCCAAAGCATCAATTGCAAAATTAACCCTGCCTGTCTGGGTGGAAACTCTGTCCTCTCGTCGTTAACTGGGACGATGTCCGCATACACATCTGGCATCTTCTTATGGCATCGGCCATCATCATCTGAGCAGTAGCCTGCAGGCGTTGTGAGTGAAGCTCATTTAGGTGGTACTCATTTGTCCTGGCCCCCCAACCGACTACCAGCTATGACTCAGCTATGACCATGAAATGCCAAAGATCAGCACAAGCTTTCATTGCAGCAGAGAGGCCTGGTTTGCACATGCACTCGCCATTCACACAGCGTGTCGGGCCACGGCGCTGCCAGCAGTATCCGAACCAGCTGCATGTGCCACCAGTGCGCTGAGGGCATTGCCTTACTGCTTGCTACTTGGGAGTGGAGGCATGGATCTCCACAGTAACATGGTAACCCAAAACATCGTCCCCAACAATACAAAGACTCTCCGCCCTCATTTCCATGCTTCCTTCCTTACTAACAACCAGTAAGTTGCAGGAAATTGTGGGAGTGATCATTTGGGACGCAGCTTCCCCCAACCGCACAGTGGCCAGGCTGGCAGCGGCAGTGCCCTTCAACCTAAGTGGCTATTAAGGGCTTTTGCTTTAAGTCTCGGACCCTGTTCCAACTGCACAAAGTCCAGTTAGAAACCGTTTGTGGGATTGGGCTCTCGGGTTTAGGATTTAGAGTTTAGTTGCCATGATGGAGAATCAAAATGAAAAAGAAACATGTAAAATCATATGGGAGCTGTGGTCATACTTGAGTTAGATAGGGTGCTAAGGAACTTAGATTCAGCTACAATTATGGGAAACCATGTTATTAGTATTTGGTAACTAAAATTCTTTGACAGCAGCCCAGCAACACATTGCGTTGGTCCGCGAGAAGACTTGCAGCTGAAGTACTTGCAGGTGCCTCCAGTATGAGTGTCACAAAAACTCGCGCTGGAGTTAGCAGCGCTGAAGGACTCCGCAGAAGCAGCTCCATATGAATGAACTTCCGAGGAAGTTGCTAGCAGCTTTCCCTCCACTACCAGCTTGTGAGCATCGGCTGGAGGGGTCTCTTGAACGCGATGTGCGCGTCGCTGTAACCACGATGCGGCGCATTCACCAGGATTGCTTTTGTGGCAAGCATCATCGTGATCCAGAGCATCCTCTCCTCCCACACCAAACCCGAAGCACAAGGACACGAGAAGCGCCCAAAGTTTCATGAGTCTGTGGCAGAGAGGGAAAGGTGCGGGGATTGGTCTGTGAGGAGTTTTTGGGCTAGTGGAAACCCACCGCTGGAGACAGCTTCTGGCAAATTGCACTCCAAATGCTTTTTCGAAACGCTTTTCTAGGGACCTTAGACCTCAGAGGATGTTCAGTCAAGCGCTTTTGGCGTGAGTTGAGCTGAAGTACCGCTGGTGTCACGTAAGCAAGAAGCAGTAAGCCGACCCTCCATGAAACGAAGCTACCAGCATGCGCCATGCTTGCAGGGCGTCACGGCCATTTTTTGCATGGCAGCCGTCATGAGCATGTCCACACAATAAAGACCTCACACAGGACGGATAGCTTTCTGGTACACGCAGAGCACAGCGCATTTCTCAGGAGAGAGCTAAAAGAATTTCCGCGGGCCAGCGCATGGTAGGTGCGGCACCTGAACAGCAAACCCTTCGTCCCTACTTCCTCCTCATGGCACATATCCCTGCTGAATCCCTTCTGCAATAGGCTCGTTTCCTGGACTGAGCTCCAAGCAGTAGCTGCGTCAAGAAAGAAAGAATCGCATGAACATCTCTCTGTTGGAGCCTTGGAAACACAGAATGGGACAGAGCAAAATTGTTGAAGCACGTTATCACAGGCTTCTGCGGATCATGTACTCTCCCAGTGCGGACAAGAGATTTACCTGAATGGCTGGAAGCAAGTGTCGCAGGAAAGCAAGATGCAAATCCCGTTCAGCTTCCTGCCTGCTCCGGGGTGTAGGATGTGAACTTCCCAGAGTTTTGGGATGACCTCGCTTGAGTGCGCAGGGACCAGAATCTGCGTAAACGATCGGACTAGGTGGGAGGCGTTTTGAAATGTGGCCAGTTGTTAAACTTGCCCCAACCTCAGTCGTACAAGGCATCCTGAAGCAAAGAAAGCCTCCACTGCAGCCAGGGGTGGCACGACCCTTCTGCACCTCCTTGCTTCGGTTTGCTTCGGAAAGAACGCTTTTACTTCTAAAGCAGCCAGGTGCTGAAACTTGGCTCCTCCAGCGTCTCGGGTGGCAAGTTCATATCAAACCTGTCGCACCCGCTCAGATACACGAAGATCACCGACCTTAGAAGCCAGGAGATCGAATCGAATGAAGTTTTTCTGACTTTCGAGTCTGTCTTGCAAAATGGCACAATCCCCACTTCTTGCATGAACAAGATTTCACAAGGCCTCACCCTTCAAGAATAATGGAACAAAATGAAAGCATCCCCAAACCCCCAAGCCTGTCTCAAACAATCCTGAGGAATGAGTGAACCTCTCTATGACCAGACATGTAGGCAACGGGTACCCCAACACAACCTGCAGCAGCTGGAACCCTCTTGAGTGCTGGCACACTCCTGAGAAACCCGTGGTGGGTATACAGCTGCTTGGCACCAATGTGTTGGAAAGCTTGACGAACCGAGCTAGAGGACAGAAAAGACGCAAGGCGGCTTCCGCAGTAAAATTTGGATTTGCAGGAGGATCGCTGGTGCTAGCTGCTATCCAATTCAATTCGTGAACTCTGCTGTCTGAGACTGCTTGCATGCCTGTGTCCTTGCAAGCGAAAGCCATGGGCTTCAGGGTTGTCTTGGCATAGCGCTGTAAGAGTTTCTGGGTGGCACACCATGGATCCTAGCTTCGGAAACGTTTTGGGAGCACCCAATGGGACTAGAATGCGAGGCTCAGGTTTTTCAGGTCTTCAAGTTTTGGGCAGGTAGGCTTGCGCATGGCCTTGCAAGGGGCTCTGGCAGCAAGGCTTGCTTTTCAACCGAGAGATGCTTAGGAGAGCTTTAATTTTGTAATGCTTGACACCTAGTTGTATTCACAGAGAACGCACCAAAAAAAAATGGAAAAATTGCCCATAGTTTCCTCTTGGGGTGCCCGCCCCATGGAAAGAGTTGCTGGTGTAATTTAACAATGTTTGACACCTAGTTGTATTCACCGAGAACGCACAGAAAAAACTGAAAAAAAATTGCCCATTGTTTCCTCCTAGGGGGCCCACCCCCTGGAAAGAGTTGGTGGTGTAATTTGACAATGTTTGACACCTAGTTGTATTCACAGAGAACGCAACAAAAAAAAAAATTGCCCATAGTTTCCTCCTGGGGGCCCACCTCCTGGAAAGATTTGCTGGTGTAATTTGGCAATGTTTGACACCTAGTTGTATTCACAGAGAACGCACCAAAAAAAAATGGAAAAATTGCCCATAGTTTCCTCCTGGGGGGCCCGCCCCCTGGAAAGAGTTGGTGGTGTAATTTGGCAATGTTTGACACCTAGTTGTATTCACAGAGAACGCACAGAAAAAACTGGAAAAAATTGCCCATAGTTTCCTCTTGGGGTGCCCGCCCCATGGAAAGAGTTGCTGGTGAAATTTAACAATGTTTGACACCTAGTTGTATTCACAGAGAACGCAACAAAAAAAATCAAAAAATTGCCCATAGTTTCCTCCTAGGGGGCCCACCTCCTGGAAAGATTTGCTGGTGTAATTTGGCGATGTTTGACACCTAGTTGTATCCACAGAGAAGGTATAGAAAAAAACTGGAAAAAATTGCACATCGCTGCCTCCTGGGGGGCCCTCCCCTGGAAAGAGCTGCTGGTGTAATTTGACAATGTTTGACACCTAGTTGTATTCACAGAGAATGCAACAAAAAAAAATCAAAAAATTGCCCATAGTTTCCTCCTGGGGGGCCCACCCCATGGAAAGATTTGCTGGTGTAATTTGGCAATGTTTGACACCTAGTTGTATTCACAGAGAACGCACCAAAAAAAAATGGAAAAATTGCCCATAGTTTCCTCCTGGGTGCCCGCCCCCTGGAAAGAGTTGGTGGTGTAATTTGGCAATGTTTGACACCTAGTTGTATTCACAGAGGACGCACAAAAAAAACTGGAAAAAATTGCCCATTGTTTCTTCCTGGGGTGCCCGCCCCCTGGAAAGAGTTGCTGGTGTAATTTGGCAATGTTTGACACCTAGTTGTATTTACAAAGAACGCACAAAAAAAAACTGGAAAACAGGAAAAAATTGCACATTGTTTCCTCCTGGAGTGCCCGCCCCCTGGAAAGAGTTGCGGGTGTACTTTGGCAATGTTTGACACTTGAGTTGCATTCACAGAGCCAAAAAAGATGAAAAAATTGCCCATAGTTTCCCCCTGGGGGGCCCGCCCCCTGGAAAGAGTTGGTGGGGTAAACAATGCTTGGCAGCTTGGCTCCTGGTTTCATTCACGGGAGGGTGCCAAAAAAGATTGAGAGCCACGAGCTGGGACGAAAGCTCAATAACGGACAGGAGTGGTGAGACAGGACGTGAAGAGACAGACGATAAACAAGAGCACGCAGCCCAGGTCTCACCGCCCATGAAAAGAACTGCAACCCTACTACCGAAACCCCTAAAAAAATAAACCAAGATCCCTCCAAGACCCCCCAGGATCCCCCCAAGATACCCACAACATCCCCCCAAGATACCCCAAATGCCCCCAAGATCCCCCAAGGTCCCCCCAAGATCCACCCAAGATCCCTCCAAGATCCCCAGAAATCTAACCTAAAAGGGCCCTCCACAGCAACGCCGGAAAGTCCAGCCTGTGGTGCAGGCTAGCTCAAAAAACCAGGCAAAATTGAACCACCACCACCCCACCTCCCCAAACAGAGCATCCATAGATGCTTGACACTTGGGTGCGTGCACAAAGGATATGAGAAAATTGAGGAAAAGAACATTCAGAATTGCCGTTTTGGGGGAGCCCGCCCCTTGGAAAGAATTGGTAGTGAAATCTGTCAATGCTTGGCACGTGCTGGCTTTCACGAAAAGATGGTCAAATCATCTACGTTTGCTGGCATCGTCAACTACTTCTACCAACAATCTGGAGCATGTATCTACCAGCCTGCAGACATAACAAGCGTACATTCCAAGCACTGCCGTTGGGGTGGTGGGTTGGGCAGTTCAGGGATACCCCGAAGTTCAGCACTGGGAGCACTGCAGGGAACCTCTGGAGTATTTTGGGTTAGGCACAGCAGGGATACTGAAAGGTAAGGCGCTGTACGGACATTCTGCACATTCTGCGCTTGAGCGCTGCAGGCAGGGAGACTTGGGGGGTTGGGCGCGGCAGGGACACTGGGGGTGAGTAGTTGTGAATAATCTGGGGTTGGGCAGTGCAAAATTTGGGGCACTGCAGAGATACACTGCACGGAAGGCCAGGAGAACATGGACTCCTGAACATAAAGCAACCCCACTGTGAGGGTGGGGAAAAACGAGCATGATCCCACGAAACATAAGGCTCGCTTGCATCATCTCTGCATCTGCACTTCCGTAAACACTTCTCCAAGTGCTGCGGCTTATACCTCAGTTCCAGCCAGGTGGCGCTTGGAAGTTGCCACGAATACCCCACTTCTTGTTCTCCAAAACCTTCCACGGCAATTGGCACACCAACAGTTGTAGGAGGGCGAAAAGCTGCTGCCTCCAGCTGCCTCTCCACCACCAGTGGATCCCCGGCTTTGCGTTTCTTCCTGGTCTTTCGCGGCAAGTCCAACCAGAACAGGCTGCTGATTCATCTTGAGCTGCGCTGCTGAAACTCACACAGTAGTGGCTGTAGATCTTTGCGAGGAAAAACCTGCGGCATGCTACTTGCTCGCCGGGCTTAGCAGATGAATTTGAAAGCACAGTGGCAAGGAATGTCATCCAAGACAACTTCCTTTGCATCGCCTAGGTTGTTCTGGTCTCGACTCTCCAGCCTGGTTGTGAACCAAGTACTCACCTGCATTCTCGGCAACATGACCAAACTTGTCCAGCAGGTCGTTGGAGACCTGTTGCGAAGCAAGAATCTCCTCAACAGTTGTCCCAACTCTGCAGCCGAACAGTGCACCAAGCTGAATCTGACGGGCACGCTTTTTTGTGGAGATCGAGGTCCGACAGGTCAAAAATGCAGAAATCAAGCTCCTGTAAACAGCTGACAATGGCGGCAGCAGCGCGAGCTGCCCTCACTGCCGGACATCTGCCCGCCCAATACGACTATACACTGCAGACTTCACAAAGGCTGCACCTTTGAGAGCTCCACATTGGTGCTGTGGACAACCACGATCTTCTGGACCCGCCGCTGCAGCAGCGCCATCCTCAAAGAGGCTGCTCAATGCGCAAGGAAGCATATCATTGCCTGGTCACCCTGGTCGCGGGTGCACGCAGGATGCAGCAGGCATGAGCCAAGCGGCATGCCGGTGTTGTCCGTCTCAGCGCCATCCTGCATTAGTTGAATTAGACTGCGACTATGAGCAATAAGCCAATTGATGGGAGCCCGACCCCCAACTCATACTTCATGGCAGACCTGCGGCGTGAGAGGCTAGCTCATTCTGTGCCCTGTAATACTTTATCGCGGCCTCCACTTCCTGAAGCGATGGGATAGGACAGGCCAGTAGTCTTTGACCGGCAGATACTCACGTGCCTTCAGGAGTTGTTTTCTGTAAACGGGGCTGCTGACAAGCTTACGCTGAAAATGGCCTGGCCCGCAATCCATTGAACAGCTGACAGCCAGCCAGAAGCCTGCTGTGGGCACCCGTGGGAGCAATTGCATCTTGACGGTTTGATTATCAGGCCAGGTCGCACTCACAAGCACGGATGCAAAAGCGGCGCTGCTGATTCCAATGGCATCAGCAAGGCTAAATGGAGATGGAGGCGCCTCCCAAGAAACACTCACCAAGAGCTGCTACTGCCCTCTGCCCCAGCGCACAGCACACCTCCATCTGCGCCAAGTGCTCTCCCATCTGCCCTGCTTCCTGAGTACTTGAAACATCACGCAGCTGCAAATTTGCCAACCACCGCATCTCGGGTTCTCACAGTAAGTGGCGTGGAGCCGCCGAAGGCGAAGCTCTCCTAGGCAACTGTTTAAACACTGCTTAGACACCGCTCACCTGTGTTCTGCGGCCACCACCACCATGCCACCCCCCACCAGGAAATCGCGGTCGCCTGCACCCTCGTACTGAACAACATCCTCCTGCTCTGGCTGCAGTTCCAAGATCGCACCAGCTATCGAACACATTTTTAACACTCGACTTCGCCTGGGGGTAGAATGGAGAGCCAGTGTAATCTGGACTCATTTGGAGCGACCTACAGCGCCGCAAGGAGAAACATATGTTTAAAGGTCATCTTCTTGGCGCGAGCTGCAACTGACTGCCATTGTCAGTCGCTGACACTGCACTTCTCTCAGTGGCTTCAAGGCCGACCGGAGCAAGAATGGTTCCGCCCATGATATACCTTGCCGTCAACTGGTCACAATGGTGCAGGCAGTAAGCTCAGCAAGGGCAAGTCAGCAAGCTCTGGGGCCAGAGCGTCTTGGGGCGCAATGGATTTGGGACCTTCCACCCAGGAAGGGATTGGAGAACTGCAGCTCCCAGCATCAAAGACTGCTGGTAACTAGGTCCCGAACCAAGAATTGCTCCCGCTGAAGCTCAGGGTTTCGTTCTAGGATTCGTTGGAGGCTCGCCTCATCAGCTGCCATGAACTGGCTCCTGCAGGGTTGGACATGCGCATAGCTATATCTTGCCAATTTAGCAAGCAAGTCTCGCCTGTTTGCAAGCCCGAATGGCTTGAGAACTGCCTCCGCGTAGACATCAATCCACAGGTCGTGGGGATTGGACACAGACTTGACCTGGCTGGGCAACATACTGCATGTCGCAGTGCAAGGTTCAGATCTCCTGATTGTGGGCATGGCATATTTTCTCCACAGCAAGGAGAGGATGTTGGTAGTGGCCACATCCTCAGCTAGGATCAGCCAGGTGCAACAGGGTGCTGTTGGAAGCTTCCAGAGTCTCCAGATACTTGTTGATGAAAGCTTGCTCACTGGCCCGAGGTGCACCCAGTCGCGGAGGCTGACTCTGTAGCCGCTGCATTGTCAGGTCGTTTGGAGTTGTGTCCTCCCCCAGCAACTCCTGCTACAGGTCAAACACGAGTAACAAGTATCTGAGAGGCGAAACAGAGCTGTCGACAACCATGACACGACATGTGCTGGTATAATTCTTGCCTTCACCGAGACGTTCTGCGCGAACATGTAAATAGATGAGGCCCAGGTTCCACCAGAAACGCTCGAGATGGCATCGACGTGAGGAATCAGCTGAAGACTCTCCAGGGCACGCAGGATTCCCAGGGCAAAAGAGAGGGCACGTGAGCCCCCGCCACTGAAGCAAACCCCAGTGCGGATAGCGGCCTGAGAGCCTGGGAAGGTTGGATGCTCCGAGTTCACCAAGGCCACGTGAGCTTTGATGGGTGGCTTAGGCCTGTGGCAGCTGCCATCGTTGGCGCTGCAGTAACCAGCTTGGCAGACGCATTTACCACTCACACACTGCACTGGTCCGCGGTAGGAGTGGCAGCCGAACATCATGCAGCTTCCCCCGGTTTGTCTGCCGCACGTGTCTACTGCGTGAGCAGTGCGCTCTCTGCAGACACCGTTGACGGCACAAAAGCCGGCCTGGCAGCGGCACTCTCTGTTGGAGCAAGTCGTGGGACCACGCGATGACGAACAGCCGAAGAAGCGACAGCTGCCACCTTATGCAGCAACGCAATGCTGCAAGGCATTAGCTCTCGAATGTGTCAACTACAGCAAAGCCACCAGTGTGTGAGTCACAGTACTGCCTGCCGTGCATGTCGGAGGCATTCTGTAGGATATCGCTTTGGCCTTTGTGCATCTGCACCTCCCGGAATCAGAAAGCAACTCAGCCTGCTACTCTTTGTCTTCAAGAAAATTCGAAGGACCACGCCTGGCTTTGCCGTCTGGCGCTGCGCTGCAACCACGAAGCTTCGCCAGCATCCTGGCAGCTTTCCCTGTCGAATTCCTGAACAGGGACATTTTTCTTTAACCATGCAGGCCATGTTCTGGACTTGGGAGTTTGGCTTGAAGTTGCGTCACTGTCTCACCTCCAGTACAGCCGGATCTGCAAAGTCCCCCCGTGATACGCTGGTCTCCACGTTTGTAGCAGAGAGCCATAGCGCGAGCAGCGTGCTCGGTGCACGTACCATCGACAAAACTTCGGACAGGGACAGGAAACTAGTAAGTGTCCTATGCGATTCAATGTGGTTATATGCTGCTGTTTAGGCAAGCAGCTCAAAAGGTTCGCCACACAACAGCCTGTTATGAGAGTACTGGCTCGTGGCTTGCGTCCGCATGCAACATCGACACACTAGTTTCACCTGGGCCCCTTTGGCTGCAACATACTCCTCACACAAGCGACCTGAGTCGCAAAGTAGTTCGTGATCAGCGCGTGAATTCTGAAGGGCCAAGCGAGCGGAGATTGCAAGAAAGCCACGTGCTGCACATGCCCGTGTCTCAGAAAGAGCTGCGTTGACATTTTGGTCTAAACTGTATGCGGATGCTTTGGCGCCATGGCGTCCTGTGGCAGATTCTGGATTTGCATCGGCATGGTCTGAAGACAGCCAAGTTCTTGTGACAGGGATCGCAGGCCCAGTGCCACTTGGATGTTGAGGCGGACCCCTTGCTTGGCTGCTGCATGCTCCTCTGCTCGCTCCGGGTCACCAGGGACCAGAATCGGCAATCTGGGATTGTTTGGAGTAAGGCCTCGCATCCGTGCCAGGTAAGCACTTAGCTTCCCCTCGAATTCGCCATTCGGAAGAAGCTTTGTGGGGTCGATGCACATGAAACAGTGGCCGTAATCCACGGCCAGCCCGCGATCCACTCGCCAAGGTGGCACGTCTGGACCGATGTCTTTGCAACCGCTGAGAACTCCACACAAGATCTCCACCATCATGTTTAGTCCATAGCCTTTATAGCCAGCAGTCTCCTCAAGCCCGCCCACAGGGGTTAAGCCTCCACCCATCATTACCTCTGTCGGGTTGATTGTTGGAGATCCATCTTTGTTAACCCCCCAGCCGAGTGGAATGCTTTGACCCTTTCGATGGCAGACCTCAACTTTCCCCACCGGCACCGTCGAAGTGGCCATGTCCAGCTGAAAACTGTCACCCGTGCCAGGACAATAGCATGCAATGGGGTTAGTGCCCCCCGCTCGGGTAGATGCACGAGTTGGCACCAGGAACGGGCTCGTGTTCGTGAACGCAAAGCCAATAAGCCCTTCTTGCAATGCAAGGTCCGACCAGTAACCTGCAATCCCAAAATGGTTGCTGCTATGACACACAACAACACCAACGCCTGAAGCCTTCGCTTTGCGTATGCAGAGCTGCATTGCGAACTCAGACACCACGGCTCCCAGTCCGTTCTGGCCGTCCACATTGGCAGTGCTCGCCGTCTCAGCGCTGACACAAGGCATCGCCAAAGGGTTGATGAGCCCCGCCTTGAGCTCTCCGCAATACATCTCTGTTCGATTGACTCCGTGCGAAGGGATTCCACGACAGTCCGCAGCCACAAGGACTTTGGCAACCAGAACTGCTTTGGTGCTTGGAGCACCAGCTGCCTCCAAACAAGCAGAAACGGCTGCTTCCAGTTCCCTCCTGTCCACACGAAGATCTTCGCCGGAGTTCACCACGTCGCGGGAGGATCCGGATCCTTTCCCCTCCTTGGGTTTCGTCCGCCGGGACCGTTCCAAAAGGATGCCGATCACAATGCCTGCTAAACCTGCCAAGGCTGGGGTCAGTGAGACCAGCCAAGACCGGCCCATGGCTTGAAGATGGGCTCCGTATGTCCTCAGGTACACAAATGATATCACATGGCGTAGTACACTGCGTACTCACCACAAGCTGAGTGTCTACCAGTGCCACAGGCTCGTCATGCTGCTACAAGGCTGATAAGTTCTTCGCAAAACGCTGGACAACACGCAGGAGAAGGTGAGGCACCGCCCACAGCAGACAACTTTACTCTGGCTGCTCTGCAACAACCTTTCTGCGCCAACATCTCATCCATTGACAACTTGACGCCTCTGGCGTCATCCCCAGCCGGGCCTATATCACCGAAAGGGGAAGCAGACTTCGGACTTCTGTGCGGCCCTATGTTGTGGCCGGGGCCCTTTGGCCCGAACCCGGTCGCTTTGCGAGCCGAACTCAGGCCAAGGAACAGCCGGTGGAAGCTGCAATTTCACTGCAACCCTTGGATGTGACCTCAGTCCTTGGGATATTGCCCCTGATTTGATATACGGGGATATAGGGCGTATACAGGGATTGCTTAGCGATAATGGAAAAGACGACTGTTCAGGGTTTAGGGGCAGGCCTAGCTGCAGCTTCCATGGCCGCAAAATAAATCCATACCAACTATCTCCTCGGAGCTCCGCGTGCGCTCCGAGGCTATGAACAAGTCAGATTCTTTCAGACTCTGAGGTGAAGAAATGCGTTAGCAAGGGGCAGATCATTAAAGATAGCTGCTCCCATTGGCGCGAAAACTCAACCATGCAAGAGCAACATCACCTTCGCACTGGGTATGCAAAGTAGTTGCAGGTAGCTGTGCTACCCTGGCATCAGAGCATGACCCAGCGGCTGACCCTGTCAGAACACTAGAATTTGTCGAGAAAGTTTTACCTGGGAACCGCTTGTCCGAATGCCCTGAGCTCAGCTGTACATGCTGCTGGCCCTTGGAGCCAAACTTGTCTTCATGCTACTACTGTAAATCTACTGTACATTAATTGACGGACATTCATTCGCTTGCAGTACTTCGCCGGCGTCCTCATAAATTCGGGATTGACTGGGTGTGGTCAGATTGCTGCGGAAGAGCCGTCCTATCTGCGGCTGCTCGATGGTGGCGCTGGCCCTCCCCTTGGACGGAATAACAGTCTGCATGCCTGGCTGCCTGCCTGTTATCTCAATGCAAGTTGCACAGCCGCGCGGGAGAGCGCACTCCGAACAAGTGACCTCGGGAAGCCGACGGTCCTGCAAACCCAAACTACGCCGCAACTACGCAGCACACAAACCCCTCTGCCAGCAGCATGGATACAGATACGTACAGGGAGGTGCGCTTTCTCACTTTCGGATGGATTTAAGGCAGCGGCTGACCGTGAAGCCAGCACAGCCCAAGCCAGGAGAATGTAAAAGAAAGACCAACCCAGCAACCAGCCTCGGTCATCATCTCCACCCTGCTTCCCTCACTGCTTCTGATCAATAACATATTATTATAGTAAACCATAGTATACTGTACTATACTATCGTACATTCTCGTATACTATAGTATAGTATGATGTAGTTTAATATATTTTCCTAAAATATATTTTAGTATACTATGGGAATCCCTGAGACCGTTGCCAACCTCCTCTGCAACAGGATTGTCTTGGATGCCAAGGTCCACCATCCAGTCCTGGCTTGGAATTCACAGGAGCAGGCAGGCGTTCCGAACTTACCGGGTGAGCCTCACCGGATCTGCTGTCCAGCGTGACGCTGACACCTTCCGGATCGAACCTGGCATGTCACGTACCATCTGAGCCCTTTTCTTTTGGGGCCGCTGCGATGTAGATATACGCTACCCGCTACCGAGTCGTTCAGCAAAGGCAGACCGGGACCCTGGCAGGAAATCTAATCCTCGCAGCTCGTTCGCTGCCAGCATATTGAACGAAGCCCTGAAGATCGAGACGTTTCGAAGAACCTCAAACAAGTTTCAAAATGGATGCGACATGTCAAGGTTGCACATTTAGTAGCGGGCATCCTCCCCGGAGGCGAGCAATGGTCCGCCAAACTGTCAACTGCATTGCTAGCCCCCAATCCCACCTGCATGCGCTCAGTTGGTCATGTCAAGCTTGGCAGGCAGGCCAGCAAAAAGATGAGAATCAGCAGCACTGCCAGTGGTAATACCTTGTGACTGCGCAGGTCATGAATTGAATTATCTGCTCCTTTTTGAACTTGCAGCACAGCTCTTAAACAGGCCCGCCGCACCACACCAGACCTGGGTGCCGTAGCTCCCAGCGCCAGGCCTTAGGCATCAGGCAAAGTCTTGGCACCGCATCTTGCAGGAATTGAGTTTCAGGCAGAATGTCGAGGCAACCTTTGAAAGACAAGCGACGGCTGCAACAGCTGATCTGCAAGGCGAACAGCAGATCATAGCAGATCCATGATTGATAAGGTCCCAACAAAGGAGGCGAGGCAAAAGCCCAAGCAGCAGACAGCCTGCGTAGCTGCGAAGCTACGAAGCTGCGGTGACTCAACTGGTGTCAACTGGCATGCACTGAGCTGGGACAACTCCGCTGCACCACGCCTCTCGTCCTGGATGCATGCTGGCCAGGAGGTAGATGATTGCGCCTTTTGCTAGCACGCATAACATGACTGCATGATGCCACCAAGTCCTGAGCTTGCGGCACATCAAAGCAGGAGGCCCCACCTCAGGATTACTGGAATCGCTGCCTGTTTACTGTAAACGGATCAACCACTGGGAGGACGACCCGCAGAAGGACAGCATCAACAACAACCTATTCAAAGTCAGAAGTGCTCGAAGACTGCTGAAAGGGTCTCTGCAAACCAGCTCACAGACTTTCACACTTGATTCATACTGTTGATGGCTTCTTCTGGATACTGCAGGCAAGCAAGATCAGGCAAGATCAGCCCAGCACTTTGGCGATGACGAAGCTGCCAGTATAGTAATATCCTGCAGTCGGCTTGCAAGCTTTCGCGGGTTTAAGCGGGTACCATGCTTGGATCCTGCGGCACGTTCACGTCGGTAGCTGGTGTAGCCGTCTCGCCAAGCCAGAAGTCCTTGAAGAGCCTTGCAGATTGCAAAGGCACGCCACGGTTGACACTGGCTGTCAGGTTTGACCTGCATCCCCAGAGTGCAGTGCACGGCAAAGATGAGGCCCAATCGACTGGCAGCAAGAAGCCGTGACACTTCTGCGGCTTCTGCGAGCTTTCAAGCCTACAGAAATGGCCTGATGACGCCAGCCAGACGCAGAGACATGTGAAAATAGGTAGCGCCGAGCAAAACGCCAGCAATTGTCGCCTCGACGAGGGCTATAGGCTGACCCAGCTAAACCAAGGACAAGGCACTGGCATCCATCAACATTGAACACTTCGGGGCAATATGCTGCAGAGCAAATTTTCGTGCACCTCGAAGTAAGTGTAGGCAGCAAGACTCCTGCGGATACAGACGAAGACTAGATCCGATATCTTACTCAGAAGCTGTGGTCCTGCTGATCTGGAGCTCGCGAATTAGAAGCTGCTTCCTGTTTAGCGAGGAAGCACACGGAAGGGCAGACAGGCAGGCTGCATGGCACACAACACTCAAACCGTGGCTGCTGTGAGCAGAGAGCTACTCCACATCCGTTGGTCCATGCCAACTTTGGTTACAGCAAAGCTGAGCGCATAGCAGTTGCACCCAGACAGGAGGCATTGCTGCAGACTTCACCTTACAGGTCCGATTCTTGCAGGATTGGCAGCCAAATTCACCCTCTGCCTCCATGTCATCTTCCGAGGCCATCATCAGCACCTTTCACTTCTGGCAAGGACACAGATCATGCGTAAGATTCTGAGGGTGGCTACCTTCCTGAGATCTCCTGAGGAACGTTCCGTTTCTCAGCCTGAGATCCCAGCTGATTGTATGTCATCCTGTAGATCTGCAGCAAGCTTTGCCCTCAGATCACGTGGCGAAGCTTACCGAGACCGTGCGTGCTTCTCGTAAGCCAAAGCAACTACAAACAGGGGCCCGGACTGCCGAAAGCTATCAAAAGCCTGGTCTTGATAGGGGCCTCAGAGACAGGCTGTGCATAGAGTTCTGTTTTTTCACAAAGGCTTGGAGGATGAACGCAGGCTCTGCAACCACCAAATTCAAGTATACACTCTCTTTAGGTCTGCTGAAGCAGCTGGGCCAGACTACCAGGGCATCCTGAACCTAAATCCTTAAATCCTGAACCCGCAGGTGCGGCATCTTGATCTAAGTGTGGGTGGTTTGCGTTCTGTGGGGGCCAGCCCAGCTGTCCAGGCAGCCCCAGTGCGTGAAGCCTAGCAGACAAATCTTCTGATATGATCCTTGGTATAGGAAGGGGCCTCCAATTCTGAAAACTCCCTGTATCATGTATGTCAAAATATGCCAAATGTCCAGAGATGATGTCCAACAGCAAGTCCTGCGGTCCAGGAGATGCAAAGCGTATTCGAGATGGAGGCTAAAGGTAGCAGGCATGCAAGCCCATGCAAACAAAGTCAGTCCGATGCGCTGCTGACCCCAGGATTGAGCTTGCCTGACAAAGACAAAAACCACAGGCTTGGTTGGCTTGGCTCCAGGCCCTTGGCTTGGCTCCCAGCGCAAAGGCGACACGTACAGGGGCAGCTGCTCTGAAGGTCCGAAGTAAGCCACCTTGCCAGGCCCAAGCCAGTCCCTAAGTCCTCTTCCACAAAAGCTACTGGCAGCTACTGGGGAGGCTGTGAGCATGACCCTGCCGTGCGAGCCCAAGACCAGCGTTTGGCTGAAGTGTGCCTTGAGCAGAGCTTTCAAGGATGGGGCGTTGCTAAGAAGCCCGGAGAACCGAGAAGTCAGCCAACAAATCTGGTGAAGGCTGGTGCATGGAAGCCAGCAGAATGACGCCTGCAATGGCGATGCCGCAGGTTCACTGATTGAGTCGTTTCGAACGATTCCTTTCGAAACAAAGCTGTGCTCCATGCTGTGTAGCCATGATCAAAAGCTTCACGACCATGGCACTCTTATGGCATGAAGCGGGGGTGATCTGCGACCAGCACCAACTCACTGCAGAAGATCTTCCCTGACAGTGAATATCTTTCTGGTCGAACATCATCTGGCCGAAGGCCCAGAAGCAGCCCAAGGTTGCAAAGTCCCAGCCTCCCGTCAGGAAACCCGCCCGCCTTCCGAGGCAAGTTCTGCGAGCAGACTTCCGAGGGCCAGGGCGCTGGAGCTGTCCAAGCCTCGGTGGCTCGGCTTCCCAGAACTGGACTTTGCCACCATCTTGGGTGCACGACCGCTGGTGGGCTCGTCTAATGCCAGCACACCCCTCGCCACAGCCAGCTCGACCTTGATAAGATCTCGCAGTTGGGACATGACAAAATGCTGTCCTGATTGTGAACAGAGCCGTTTATCATGAGCAGAATTCCAAGGATAATGATAATGGTGGCCTGAGCTGCTCACCCCTACTGCCGTGCGACGCCTTTCACCTCCGGAGATGCCGCGGAATTTGTGGCCGCCCACTTTGGAGTTGGCTACCGCCTTGCCAATTCTTGAATGCCCAGATACGATTGGCTCCGTCCTCTTCCCTGCCTCCAGCCCTAGGCGGCTCAACGTCCAGGTGACGCGCCTGGAGACTCTCACGCAACATCCTCTGCACTACTGAAAAAGATCTGCGGCGCCCACTCATGACGTGTTCTCCAACTGGCTTTCGGCATTCGGAGAGCTACTGCCTCCAAGCACATTGATCGCACCAAAACGGCACAAAACAAATGAGATTCCATCTCTGAGGTTCCCACAAAAGCGATCACCTGCAGCTTGACAATGTGTAGCAGCATTCACAGAAAATGTTACAGCATCAACCAAAGAAGCTCTTGCATCTCTTGCTCAAAGGCTGTAAAACCCTCTGCAAGCTGTTTGCGCAGGGGTGTGGAGAGGGTAAGTGTGCCTCTCGGACCGTGAGCTCTGGATGCAGAGCATCATCTTGCCGCACATATCCGACCTAAGCTCACCCGCTGCGCGACATGCTAGAGGCGTAGCCATGAAGTGCTAATTCACACCGAAGGCCGGGCCGTCCTTCGCAGCTTTTTCTTTGCAATTTTCTGCCTTGCTGCGGAGACAGCCGAAGTGCCACGAGACTTGAGCGCAGACCATCTCATATATATATATATATATGTGTGTGTGTGTATACATATGGCTCATGGGGCTGCTACATGGCATCAGCAAAGCATGGCGAATCGTTTTCCTGCACGCGCCTGTTGAGATAGATGGATCCAGTCCACCTTGTGCTTGTGACCTGACCATCACAAACCAGGCACAACTCGTGGGTTTGCCATGAGACCCCATGCCTCACCAGCAAGGCAGGACAACAGCGTTGTCTTGCCGCATCCAGAAGGACCCAGCACTGCCAAAGGCCTCAGAGCGACTTGGAGAATCACAAGGGCAAGTAAGGACTTTGGGTCGTTGGGCCTGCCAGTACGCACCATGCCACTCATCCTCCCAGGCACAGAGCATCCCCAGGCTTCACGAATGTGTTGCCGGCGCACCCTTCATAGAGCCCAGCTCCATTGGGGAGCGTTGCATGAAGATCCTGCATGCAGCTCACTGTTTAGCAGAGACCCTTCAGAATGAGTACTTAAACCATGGCCTGCCAAATCAATGCGGCGGAGCCCTGCCGGCAAGTATATGGAACGTGTATATGGCAGTGACATCATCAAACCGCTTCATGTCCATCCAGCTGTTTACATTGATCTGATCCAACCAAATCCCAGGCTTTGAGGGCCTGCATTCGGCTGCTTACCCAGGATGGAGGTTCCAGGGCCTGGTCGGAGAAACCCTCTGAAAGCTTTCACGGGGCGTGCCTCATGGGGTCGGGACGTCACTGCAGCCCTTGTCTCGGGACATTGGTTTGAAGCAGCGGTGGTAGGTCTTTACGCGGTACCTGGCTGCCAGCAATGGGACACATGTTGCATGACAGACAGACCAGGCAGGAGCGCCATCGGAGCCACACTGGGATGAAGGCCAGGACCCATATACTGCCCGCAACGAGGCCCAACATCTGGAGATTGTACTCCAGCTGGGTGGGGTCCACATTGAACTGCTGTGGCCAAATCTCAGTCGGCACTCACCGCGTGTGTTGTGCCATGTGGGGTCATGAGCAAATCCATCTGGTACACATGACACGCTGAGAACGCCATGAGGATGCTTTCTCCAACATCCTGGGGCTTGGACGCTTCCCTCGACAGTTACGGCAGCATGGCCTGCACGTTGGCGGACTGATGCGGACTGTTTACAGGATAAATGTCGCAATATGCCATGATTATCTCTCCACATCTCTCGACTCAGCACCCAACCAGTTGCTTCCACTGTGGTCTCCAATCCCGTAAACTCGCTGGAGATCATTGCAGCAAACGCATGTGCAAAGGGCGACACGTCGTTCAGCCACCTGCTTGCAGCCGGCACGTCAATTTGAAGAAGAATTGCTGCTGTGCGTTCCCGTCTTAGCCACACAATGCACAAGTGTGGACATTTGGAAATAACGGACGGAGGAACCGTGGTGCCTCTTAGGCACTTCAAGTTTTCTCCACAAAAGAAGCTGTAGGGTGGCATAAGCCCCGCTTGGCCAGATACACCAGGTGCCCCAACTGGAGTCAAACCTGAAGCCTTACACCATAAGCATCTGGATCTAAGGAGGAGCCCGGAGTGGGCTTGTTGAATGTATTACTTGTTCTGAATTATTCTAGTCCTGTTCTCTAGTATCCCCACCGTGTGTATTTTGAAAATAGTTTTCTTTCTTGCAGAACAGACGCCAGAGTCAACTCCAGCAGGCCTGAAGGTCCAAGGAATCGCATCGCGTCTTTGAAGGAAGCCGGCATACATCTGGAGCACCTGCAAGTTTCGACGAAAAACAAGAATGCAGGACCCATGCGCTCCTAGGGCCACCTTTTGAGTGGTAGTAGCAGTGATTCAAGCAGCACCCACCCAGACAGAAAGACATCTGGAGGCTGTTTAACATTATCTCTGAGGAGTGCGCAGTGAGGAAAATTGCTGCCAGCGAAATGCCATTGGCAAAGGAGCTTGTCAGTGAAAGGCACAGGAGACCTGATCTCCAGCTAGCTGCCCTGTCCATGCTCCCGGTTGATGAAATCCCCAAGGTGTAGACTCACTCCGCTCGCTGCGGCAGTGGTTCCAGCCGTGCACAAATAGAAAGTCAACATCTTTGAGATGCTCCCCTGCAAAGTAGCATGCAGTACCATGACGGCACCATAATCAGAGGTAGAGTTTTCCTACTCAGTCTGGACAGGTGCGATGATAGCAGTCCTGGAAGCCGATCAAGTAGTACACAATGCCAACCTTGGGAAACACGTAAGGCAACAAAGACCGTAGCTGGGAAATGTCAGCATCCTCAGGCCACAGCGTACATCGCGGGGACGAAGAGGCAGTACCTCGCTCGTTCGCTGCAGCGCTCTCAAAACTGGCTACTAGCTCTTATGGTTGAGGCTTTGTTCTCACTGTGACGCGACCAGATTGGGGCGCTGGCCACCACAGGTATGCTGATCCCTTTGATAGGAAATACGATAGCACCTCAGGCGGTACAGAGACGCGTAGCTGATTTGCACTTAGGGACAGGTATCACAAATGCACAAGCAAGGTCCGAACGTTGTACAGCTTTGACGCTCTTTCACGGTCAAGTCGATCCCGGTCTACATACCAGAGGGTGCAGGCCTCGCACACTGACACACTGAGACTCTTACTCTGAGTAGCCATCAAGTGCGCGACGAACCTGCAAGCCAAAGAAACTGAAGAAAAGCTGCGTGAAGAAGATGGAGCCAAAACGATTCTGTACTCCGGCAATACCTCGGTCAGAACGGGGCATGCAGACTGTGATCAGAACAAGGCCACACAGCTAAGAGGTGCGACCAGTGTCAAGGTTCCTGAAAGTGAAGCCAACCTCGGAGAGGCACATCGAAGTCACAACATGCTTCAAAAGCTGGGCACCCCGAATCGCAGGGTTGCGGCCAAAAACGCGATGCTGAGAACCACAATAGCGGCCACAAGACCGGCGTAGTTGCCCCGCGTGGCCTTCCAACAGCGCACTCAGCAAAAAGATGTTCAACAGCGTTGCTTGTCTCCGGCTCGCATTGCCTCTCTGAGGCTTCGCTGCCAGAGGAGAAAAACCTTTCCGCATAGCTCTTCTTTTAAAGGACACTTGGCAGGACAGCTTCCACAAAAAGGCACGCAGCACCTGCAAGGGCAGGCTTGCTGGGGCCGCGCCCGCTGTGGCACGAGAGGCAATGGCCTGGCAGAGGCGAGCCAAAGGCCACGAAGCTTAGAAGACCTCGATGCTTCCAGATTCTAAGCAGACCACCAAGGCATCAGAAAGATCATCATCGAAGCTGGCGAAGCAGCTGTGGCTTTGGCCGAGCGACTGCCTCAAAATGCATTGTGCACGAATGCGTGAATATGGGTTCTTGCGAGGCAGGGCTGGGCTTGGGCCGATGCTTGCTCACCGCTCTCTTGATTTCTGCCACCAGCTGGGGATTCACATTCCAAGAACATTCCTCAGTCGGGTTCTGTCCCAACCTGGCAGCTTCAGGAATTAGGCATGATTGAAGACTGGATTCTGATGGGCCCACAGACAAACTGAGAAGTGCCTCTCGTTGGGAACGTTTCGATCCGGGCTCTCATCTTCTTCCTCTCGGATATTGTGATCTCAATTCAACATGGCCTTTGAAAGAAAGGCTCGGTATCCTTATGTGACCAGGGATCTGTTGTCTTAGTGAGCTGGTCACCAAACTGCCCAAGGTCTAGCCTGAATCAGAGTCCACAGATGGATGCTGACGGATGCTCGCGGGACTTTGCAGCGCTCAGCAGTGGCCTGGCATTGAAGAGGCGCAGGAGCTCTGCCCGCGGCTGGTGCATGCTGCAGATCAGCAGCCGCCCTCCCTGCACGAAGCTTTTGGTGTTTTAGAAGCATGAGACCGGTTGCTCTGGCCTCAGCGAGCTGGGACAGGACCCGCCCGAGCATCAAGGCACAGCTGGCGTCAAGTCCAGTTGTCGGCTCCTTGGCTTGTCAGGCCACTTGAATCGCACGTCAAACAGCATGGAAGGTGCCTGCAACCCTTGCTGCTGGCCCAGTTGCATCCAACACCATGATTGGAGGCGACACCACCAACTCCACCCCTGCTTAAACCGTACAAGAACAGCGGCTGGAGAGAAACAACACAAGAGTCGACATGGATGCCTTGCCTATCGCAACACGACGGCGCTCGCCGCCAGAAATGCCTCGTCTGTGGTTGTCTCCGATCCGTGAGTTGGCAACTTCCTGGCAAGTTCTGCCAGCAATACTATTTGAACCTGCCTCTGCCCCTCATTTCGACGCACCTGCCTCTAGCTTCAACATCTTGAGAGCCCAAGAAACCCTGCCCGCTCTTTTTGCGGCCTCTCAGCACGAATTGTTTATCAAGGCCAACTTGCTGCAAGGTCTGGGAAGCGAACGCTGAGAGACCGGAGCCGCAGGGCTGCTGAGAATTCCAGGGCCTGGAACGTTCTTGGTCCAACGCGATCGGGCAAAAAGCTACAGGAACCTCTCGAACGGTCAGCGTGGCTCCCAGGATTTCGTCCTGCAACTTCCAAGCAAAGGACAGTTGCCTTGGCCTCCATGCTCCATCCTGATATACGAAAGAAACATGGCGACGGCGGCTTCTTGCCGACATCTCCTGTTGGCTCACAGATGAGTCAAGCACTAAGCACAGATGGCCTAGATCCGGGCCTTGCCGTTGATGCGGACTTGCGCCGAGTCCCCCGGCTGCATTCGGCCCGCCAATGCCTTCAGGGGTTAGCCCTCCGGCTTGCTAGAATAAGCAAACAAACAAACCGTTGAAAGACTTGACAGGCCTCAAGAAGTGTCGTCTTGCCGCTGCCAGAAGGTCCCAGCAGGGCCACAAGCGCACCGCGCCCCGAGGAGAGCGACTGCCAACATTCAGAGCTTGTAAAAAGGGGCGGGGGGCGCAAAATTGAAGATTTTTGGGCCTCCACGGATCCAGACACATCCTTCAGAACCTGATGTGACAGCACATGCCCATGCCTAAAAGAATTTGGAAGGGAACCTGCTTGTCCTTGCGTGCGCAGTTGACATTCTGCCAACTGAACACTAGCGTGGCACCTGGATGTGCAACTCTAAAGTAATGTCACCAGCAGCCATCCGAATTCTCTGAGCGCCCTGGCCTGGGGGTGTGCTGCCAAAGCCTGTGCAAAGCGAAACAGTCCCCACCCCGCAACTAAGAAGATGATGACAACACAAGACAATGTTATCGTGTTTTATCACTTTTGTCTTCAAGGCCTCCAAGAGCCGCCTGCGCCGCGGCGATGGCCGGCAAGGGAGCCCCAGGCATGTCCAGCAGAGCGCCCGCTGCCAACCTTTTGGGGGGTGCCATGGTTCATGGTTGTGGCAGCAGCTGTAAAGCTGCTATGATGCCAAGAGCCTCCTGGTTCTTAGGCAGTCCAGGACAACACAGATCAACACAAACCTTGGGCAGACACGCTTCTGAAAAACAATCAGCTCTCCAATCATTCAATGTGGGTGCAGCGTAAGGGAGAGACAAAGAGAGCACCACCAGGAGCGCCAAAACTAGTATTGCCACGGTTGTCCACTGGCCGAAGAGGTCAATGGACTGTCGAGCCAGGACAACCTGAAAAGCGCCCGATGGATGACATTTTCTGAAACGCAACATGCCGAATATATTCGGCCTCTTCTGTGGCATTGTCAGGGACACACATGCCCGTGTCACATTCAAAGGACATTGGAGTAGGCAGGTCCTTTGTGCAACGTATTCTGGGTCTCAAAGCCTGTGCGAAGCGCTAGCTGCAAGAATTGGGGCCATGGCATCCAGACTGGTGTGACACATCCCAGTGGAGTTTAGCGAATCCTGACAGCTGTAAGTTTATCCACAGATACCTGTTCAGGTCCATGCTATGGACCAGGCATGACGGAGGGAGAAAGTCCATGAAGAAAAGCAGCACAGCGCTGAGTCACTATTGAATCCCATGGAGTCCACCTCGCAGCCAATGTACACACCCCGGTGGATGCCATCTACAATGATCCTCTTGGACAGGTGGCATAAGAATCTCACGATTGCACATAATGGGTCAAGAGAGCAGCCCCGTCCTTGTGATAGAAGATAGCCAGGAATCCTCCGGATAGTCGCACCTGCAGCATTTGGAAGTTGGAGTGGCATCCCCGTCTCTTGTACGAGGCTAGACGTGACAAGGCTGGTCTTTTCGCGCAGAGTAAAGCTGCAAAATCAAATCCAACACAGAAGACGCCACGAAGTGCAAACACTAAGGAGGCTGCTGGCACTTCTCGCAGCGCGCGCAGGGGCTGGGCACCTTCTTGTCGGTGCACGCCTTGTGCGCAAGGATGAATTAAGAAGAACACCTTGCATTGCTGCAACGAGGGACATGCTGGCAACTTCCAAGGTTCGTACCCCGCTCTGCTCGCCTGTGAGCGGATCTATGTCATCATAGAGAGAGTCGCACTCCGTGCAGCTACACCTTGGCCGGATTCAGATGCTAAACTACCTTTGGCCCGCACGTGCCCGCACGCTGCAACTCAGGCAGTAGCTGCATGAGGATGGGCTGGCGGTGGCTGCACATCGAGTTAATGATGTCCTCGTGAGATCCCATGCTTCAGACAAGTAGCTCCACGGTGCTTCACATCTGCAACCAAGATGCCAAGCGCGCAATGCCCTGCGATGGAAAGTACTGTGCAAAGAACAGCGGGCTGGACCAGCCTCCAGACCTGTCAGCAAAGTGCGTGGTTGGTCATGTACTAGCATCTCTATCTCCGTTTTCGATGCACAAGGGTTCGCAACGCCAACACTTCCAGTCATGCGACTTAGCAGAAGAACTATAGCCCGAGCATCTGCACTGGCCACAGACCGAGGCCAAAACCAGAAAAGTCGGTAAAGCGGAGATCGCTCAAACTCTTCCGAGAATTTGCAGGAGAACTGCCTGCATATTGATAGATGAAAGCATGATCTCGTGACACGCTACTTGAGCCAGTCAAGGGCTTGTGGCAGTAAGGCTGCCACTTGTCGTGTAGACCATCCAGAACCATTGACCTGTCAACATGAAGCTTGGCCATGTGTGCTGAGAGAGCCATGTGCTCGTGGCAAAATAACTGATTGGTTGCTGGCGCCTTAAGCACTTGCCGCCCTCTCCACAACCTTCATCAGAGACCTGAGAACATCTCCAAACGAAAGGCGTCCGGCAACTTGCAATGCTTCTCACGCATAGAAAGTGACACGGAAATACTCTTGAGATTCTCGTGAGTCTTATGAGGGCAGCGAAGCATCAAATCTAAGGCGTAGCCCTGCTGCGGATCGACACACTGAAACGCGAACGAAAACTGCTCAATTCTACGAAAGTGTCCTCAAGGCCTTGTAACATCATATCAAAACGCACAGCAATCATAGCGGCGGAATTTCTAGGACTCAACTGCTCCGCACATGATCTAGGCAACTAGTCCAGCGGTGTCTAGGTGTGACGTTCAACCCCGCCCTGTCTCAGGAACAGACACAATTCACACATTGGAATCCACCAGTTCCCGCGGGACATGGACACTGCCTCAGCGCATCTTCAGAAGACTGTCGCTCCTACAGCGCCACTATATAAGGGCCTTCTCCCTCCTTTTCTTGAAATCCGTCCCAGAAACGTCTTTACATACGTGCAGCTTCGCGCGCTTAGTGGAAAGGCTTGTACTGTTGTATTTAAACCCACCGAATGTCAGGAGATTGGTTTGAAACTAGTTCTGCTGGATGTGGTGGATGCAGACTAGAAGACTGCTCCTGGATGCGTGTAGATAGTGGGCGAGCCCGGAGAAGATTCTCAGTTGTTGTCTGTGCCAACACTACTTTTCAATCTAAGAAATGAGGAGGGCTTCATCACTAAGAGGGTTGAGCTCGCAGCTCACACTCGCATTTCAGACGTTCAGCAGTATCACCGCCGGGGGCGAGCGGACACCAAAAGGCACCAGAACCTCAGGCGAGGACAAGGATTGCAGTTGAAATAACCAGAAGCATGGTTAACTCAGCTTCCTGGCCTAAATTGCCCTGATAAGCGCAAGTGTCGCTGGCGCAGTGCTCCACGTCCTCGGACCAGCGCCACTCCTCACGACAAGTCACGAGAACCACTTCGCTACCACCACGGACACAGGTTCATGACATCACAAGGAGCATGTAGATCAAGGTCCTCCGAGTTCCCAGACACATGGACCTCAGTACCTGCATGATACAACGACATTTTTCTGTGTTTGCTGGCTGGGTAGCTGCAGGAGGACGCCCCCCAAAAAGGACATGGCCTGCAAAAGAAATCAGCAAAGCCTGGCCTCTGGTAGAAGGCCGCACGGAGCCAGGGACGGTTCCAGCCTCACTGGAAGATCTTACGAACGCAGAGCGTTAATGGCTTACTGCAGCCAAGGCACTCCGCAGCTGCCATCCTTCACTGGGCTGTGAAACAATACGTATCAGGTCCATTTGCAGGAGTCTGCCTTGCTCATTCGCACGTCTGCATCCGAAAAAAGAGGGTCGGAAGCATTGATGAAGATAATTTCTGTGGTGGCATTGAAGCCGGCAGCGAGCCTGCCGAACACAAGAGAAAACACAAGGCCTTACTTACACTCTTCATTCTCGCAACAGGAGCTAAGACACACCTGCCTTAGGCTCAGCTGGGCGAAAGCTACCAACGCTAGTCTGCCACCTGATTTGCCAAGACTCACACGGAACGCCATCCAAATTCATCCAAGCCCGGGACAGGCCATGGCATATGCAAGAAGAATGTCTGCCAAATGCTTGCGCCGTTGTAATGTCGTGAACATCATGCACTCAATTGACTTGAGGATGTGCTGGTGCTAGCAAAAAAGTACTCAAGCCATCTCTTCCCTCCTTTTGTTTGCCTGTTGCCCATCCATAATCCACAATTGAGACTGAGCCAGTCACAGCTCTGAGTCACTGACGGGCTGCCGCGACACACCAAGTCGCATGTTGCAAAACAAGTTTCAGTATCACAGCAGAATTGATCATGCAAAAAAGATCCTCGAGAGTCCTGCTTTTCAGCAAAAGCCGATGCAGCAGATTATCAATGCTGCTCAACGTCGCTCCTGCACGCCAGAAAAGCCATGGAGCAACACAAACTGCACCGGAAAGGATTGATGCAAAGCTCAGGCCGCTTCAGGCATAAACCGCACTCCTCAACATAGACCATTTGGAAGCAGCCAGGTCGCTCCAAGAAGGGTGGCGAACAAGCTCCTGAAAGCCAGCTGTTGCTTCAGTTGCCGCCAAAAAAGGGAGATTGATTGATTCTTTTGCCATCCCCGCCTCGGGGCGTCGTCAAGGCCACTGCCTCCAGCCTGGGATCTACCTTACCTTTGGCAATCCAGGTGCCATCTCCTCCTCTTTTGGCATCTGGCGCCTCCGAGTTCTCCTGAAGAACTTGCTGATTGAGGTCATCATGCAGACTTGACTCCAAATCAAGTTTAGGAGATTTGCTGGGGCATTCTTGCCGGGCTGCACTCCCACCTTGGGCTTTGTGAACTGAAACAAAATGACACATGGTACACGTGCAGGTTCCTGTTCAGAAGCTGAAATCCCTTTGGCATGATCCTATCCCGCCAAAATTGAACTCCAACTTGTAGCCGCTAATCTGAAGCTGCTTGGAATGACGGTCGCTTTCCGTCTTTTTGCTGTGAAGGGCTGCGCTTGCAAGTTAAAGCCTGCCAAACGGGGAAGAAGAAATGTGAAACTGTGAAACAATCAATTGGTCTCAGTGGCCCTGCCACCAATGATAGTCCCAGCAGGGAAGGGGCGTTCCACGGATCATCGAAAGAGCCTGCATGATGCGCATTGCGATGTGGATACTGCAGGAAGTCAGAATAGGCCAAATCAGCCAAGCAACCGTTTGAAGGATCATCTCTATCTTCGGCAGAGAAACGACAACCTGGCACTGCTTAATGCTTGCTCCAAGGCAAAAGAATGTTCAGATGCAGCAACACTCGAAGTGGCGGCGTTATCGCTGTGGTTGTACGCATCCTCCTCCGTCATGTCCGCGATGGTTGACCGCTGCGCCTATTGCGAAAAAGACCACTGCTGCCGCTGCAGAGGGAACGGTGGAGTGAAAATTCAAAATTGGGACTGTTCTAAGAGATCCAATCCCCCACTCTCCCTCAGGCACCAGCGAGAGTGACAACACTAAAATTTGCGGAAGCTTTGTGATTGAGCCTGCGCTTGGCTTCGCTGAACGTCGTGTGGCTGAAGGCAGACATGATGCATCCCAGCCTTCGTAGCGCTCTGAGGGCTGCATCTCAATTTGCTTTAAAGCAGCATCTCAACAAGCTGAGGCACAAGTCGAGCCAATCCCCCAAAAATCTGGCTGCCATCAGCATTCCAAAACTCCGAGCCTCACTTTCAAAAACCCTTCATTTGGCGCTTTGCAGCAACATGGAGCAACAATGAACAAAATACCTACCGGCTGAGGCCGGAGCAGCGCATCCACACTGGCAAGCTGCGGCTCCTTGCAACTGTTCACAACATGCTCATATGTTTGTGTCTTTGGTAGACTGCAACTAGCCTGAGCTCGATGATGGCCCTGCCAGGCCGCATGGCCCAAAGCCATGCCATTCCTGCACCATGGACTGCCAGGAGGATATCCTCAGATCGATGACCGCTGGCATCCCACAGGCCACGAGTCAACAGTTTGGCCGAGCTTCTGCTCCAGCAAAGAGACGAAATTGGTCCACCCATGGCACGCCTGACAGATGTTCAATGACATTCAGCTCCATCTCCGTGAAGTTGGCGCGGATGAACTCCAGGACCTCACACGAACAAGACATGAATCTTCGCTTTTTTATGTTTTCCTCGTTCCCAGCCCCGCCTCTGGGAAGTTCTCTATGCGTCGGCCATCAGAAACGGGACGCTGCAGAAGAGCCAGCTGCACCGTGCCTTGAGTTGAGAGCTGATGGCTTTTGACGAGGGCAAAACCCTCCTAGCAGGGCCTAGCATACCATTAGGTCATGCTCGGGTCATGCTTGGGCCATGCTTGGGCCATGTTTGGCCTCGGGCCTTGCTGTGCAGCTGTTGGAGCGCCTGAGATTCCTGAGGACAATGAGGACAATTGCAGTTGTACCCAACTCCTCACCGCCGAGATCTTTTGGCAGGTAAGTCCAGGCGTCTGCAGAAAGAATCGCAGAGATGGAAGTCCCAGGATCACATTGCTGTAGCTCTCGCCTTCAAAGTCTTGCAAGGGACGGGCCGGCCTGACAGACAGCCACCCAAGCACTCCAGCATGGAAGTCCTCACGGCCAAGACCCCAGTTTCTTTGCCAATGCTTCTCCTTCACGTCCTGAAGAATGGGCCAGGAAGCCTGCAGCAGCGACCAGGCCTCGGGCTCGAAGTTGCCTTGGAAGGAGGCATCGACAAGGCGCCCCTTTGCCGTGGAAATGGCCCAATCGATGTCACTGCGGGGGAACACGAGAGCCACGTCCAGGTTTTCGGCGCTCATCTTCTTCACGAGTTTATAGTACCACAGGGCAGGAAGCCACCAGTGCAAATGATGCCACGGATTCGCCTCCCACGCCAAGGTGATCGGAAGAATTGCCAGGACACGTTGAAAACGGGCTGTGCTTGTTGCCTGCACGGCTTTCAACATCTCAGCCTGGAGCCAGAAGCGCCCGAGCTCTGTACAAAGGGGCCCATAGCCTCTGAAGGAGCTGTCACTTCGGCCAACATGGCCAACCATAGCCACCCCCAGCTCATGCGGACCACACTGCAGATTCCACGAGGACCCTCGGTCCAGAGAAGGAATTTGGTTCAACCGTATCCTGTTCCATGCCATTTGCTTCAGCAGGGACGGTCGCAGTGTTTCTGTTCGTGACCAGCCACTTCCCACATTCCAGACTAGTCTAGCATAGTGCAGGACTGTGTCGCGTGCAGTGAAGCCCCAAAAGTCTTCGTCAATACAATCGCAGAACGTAGCCAGCTGGAACATGCCTGCACTGAGCATCATCGTCTTGCTGATGTCTTCTTCAAGTATGCAGGAGTGTAGCAACACGAGAAGTGTTGCCAAGTTGCCGGGCACGCACTGAGAGGAGGAAGCCATTAGTTGGATTGCCCTCGGATGAATGTTGCCATCGTCACTTTTGTCGCAGCTTTGCAGACTGATGGCCCGATGCTCCCAGGAGCTGCCATTCATAAAGGCCCGGAGAAAGTGCTGACGCCCCACGCCGAGTTCAAGAAATTGTGTGTTTGCACGGGCGAAGAACTCGCCAGCTTCGACACATCTGCAGAAGTCTCTCCGACCCCATGCCGCGGTGTAAATCCTATGAAAGGAAAACCAGAGATCCGTCTCCCGTTGCAGTAAGACAGATATTGCGCTCGCACTCAACTTCCTCCTCAGCCCGTGAAGAACCACAAAATAGACCAGAACAGCCTGATAAGCCGGGCCCATGTCTGGCAGTTGCCCGGGAGTCGCAAGGCTTGTGTTCCTAAGTTCAGCTTGCGCTCTGTTCATGAACATGGTCGTGAGCGCAGTGGCTCTGCCAGCTGTTAGCTCTGATCCTCGTGTCCGGAAGAGGCTGCGAAGCCGTAAAGAAACTTCCTCGGGCAGGCCCTCGAGCCCCGGAAAACTGAGGTGACCGAAATGCAAGGTACGGTGCGCGCAGCACCTCTTCTCCTCCTTTGTCTCAGTGAAGCATGATGCTCCATGGGCTCCGCAGCAGCAGCGGGACCGGCTGCGGCCATCTCCCCAGCAGGAAGACTCGGGCTCTGACACCTGGAGCAGCTCCGCCCACGACAGGGCTGTGAGCAATGCAGCTCGCATGGCTCCGCCATTCTGAGGTCAAGCTCAAACCACTTGAGTCCCCTATGCCTATGATCTCAACAGCTGTGCTGGAGAGTGCAGCTGAAGCAAAATCGGCGGAAGGCCCAGTCATGCCAGGTAAATCCGATCTTCCGGAAAAAACAGTTAACATGATCGACTCACAAACAGATTAAAACCCCATGAACTCACGGCCCAGAAGCCCGACTCAGCACCCATGAAAACTTGCAGAGTCAAACAACAACGTGCCTAGACACTTGAAGACTCCTGGATCAGCGAAATGAACCGGTCCAGGCTGGCGCTGAGCAAAAAGCCACCGCGCCCCACGCCGCTCCCAGTCATCATTTCCTGAAAGTCCAAAGCAGCCAGCAACGCCTTCTCGAATCCCAGCTGGCCTGGTAGCAGCGCATAATCTTCTCTTCTGTGCTGACCTGTAGGGAGCTTTTACCAGCTTGACCACACAGCAGCCTCCATTTAGATGTTTGGTGCATGATTCACGCAATGCTGCATCCTTCCTCAGAGAGCCTGCGCGTCTCTCAGCTCAGGGCATAGCAAATCACTTGCTTCCTCACTGAATATTAATCTAAGTCTTAGTGTCTTGTCGGGTCTTAGCAACGACTCATCCCCTCCACCAAGTGGGGTAGATTGAAGCAATTTGGGCTCTCAGAGCTTCTTGGCCTGCAGCTTCCAAATCTTCACCTGCCCATTCGGCGGCGCCTGGACCAGGTCTCTGCAGAGGAAAGACAAAAACAGTAACGAAAGCCTGGAGAAAAGCTGGGCAAAGGACCTTTAGCGCTTTGGGCAGGTGCTCCCTGTAGCACGCAGTTGCTCCGGCCTGCTTCAGGCCCGAGGTTTCAAATCTGATGGCCAGGAGGCTGCCAGCAGGTAAAGCATTTGCCTTGGATTCGCTCAGCATGGCTTCCCCGCGTCGGCGCGCGCGCTCCCAGGCATCTTTGTTAAACCTGCAGAGAGCAAGTGACCAAGATCATCCTTCGAGGTCGCTACCCTTGAAAAGCTCCGAGAGTGTGGCATGGAAAAATCGATATGCGAATCTCCTGCCAGAGCTGGGTGAGGGGCAGCTTGGATATCCACGAGACTCATGGAAGCTCTGGCAGACCTTCGCACACTCTTGGCGCACAGCAGGCAGCGTCTGAGCCTGTCACACTGGAGGGTACGTAAAGTCCAGCAAGATTTTGCAAGCGCACCTGCATCTGAGATCTGCAACGCTTCTGGCCTGCGTTTAGATGCCTGGGCCACAGCTCAGCCTCCTCCCGTCGGTTGCTGAAGTCTCCACTGGGGTTACAGGACCGTGCGGATATGGTATGATGTGATTTTTCTCACTATGAACTTGCAGCTGGGCAGCTTGGAAAGCCTTCGCAGCAGCACTTCGCTTGGCCACCTGCGGTGTCTGCACCTGCGACCTTCACGGTCGAAAGCAAAAGGCAAGAAGCAAAAATGAGCAGATTGCTTCAACTTCGGAGCTACCACAAAGCGATTACGAACCAGTGAAAGGGCCCTGAGACCCTGGCGGCCCTGGCACATGAGCAGCATCTTTGTCTAGCCTCACAGCCACTAAATCGCAGACTGATCCTTTTCAGCAGCATTTACGGCTGAGAGCACGACTCCGGGCGGCCATCGCTGGCTAAAAGTTCGGGTGTAGCATCGCCGGCAACGCACAGCTGCCGCGCAGCCTTCTCCAAGGTGTCATCCGATCTTTGCGGATCTGAGCGGCATTGTAGTTCAGCGACTCGGCTTTCAATTTCCTTGCTGGCAGCCAGGGCTTCGCAGAGGGCCTTCTCGGCTTCTTGAGCAGCATAAGAGGTTGTGGACGTTTGCCTCTCTGCCGCTGTTACCGCATTGAGCCCTTTGCGGCTTGCAGAGATCTGACGATCCCACGCTGCCAACACCAGCTCCAGTGAAGCGATGAGGCTTTGCATCCGTGCTTCGGCATGTTCATCAGCACAACCTGCGGTGCCATCGCTGGCCATGTTCTGGTGTGTGCCGATGCAGGTGCGGCTTGTGCCTCTGCGGCCTATGATATTGAACAGGGAAAGGCTTAACTTCTGCAAGAGGCGCCGGTTGCTTTTCTCCTGCTCTAGAATCACTAAGTCCGAAATTGCTCTACCAGGGCTGCTGTCTGTCCATGCAAGCATATCTGCTGAAGCACGCTCTGGTTGGGACTATTTGATGCAACATCCTACTCGTACCCTGGGATACCATTTTCTTCTATCGCGGCTTGAGCCTCATCACGGAGAAGCATGACTATGCTCGTCTTGCTTCCAGGCCTGACATGGTGAGGGCATGCCTTCAGCCTTTGTTCTGCTACAGAACAACAGAACAACCAAAATGATGAGAGGATGGGGTTGAACATGACAGGGGCATCTGCAAACATGTCATGTACCCTTTTACCTCTGGCTGGTCATCTGGGCGTTCTGACACGGATGCCCCTTCAGGGTCCCTATGTCAGATTAAGCTAAACCAGCAGGCGGATTTTTGCTAGAGTCTACACTTCACCTTGGGCGCAGGTTGGTCTGCTCGTGTGAGCTAGTGGCTAACAGCGGCTTACAGGGACTAAGTCCTAAGTTCCTGTTGGTCGGCTGTCAAGGGAGGCCTTCAGGCTCAGGCCGGCCCGGGCTAACTCCGAATCAACCTGAGTGTTGTTGCTGCTCTTGAGATAATTCTACATGGCAACTCCCAGGCTCCCAGCTGCATCTTCAATAGCTGTGCGCCTGAGCTGCAGTGTTGCTTGACCAGTCGAGCGACCCGAGTCTGGGGCGACAACAGCGACGCCAGAGACCGCCGACTTCGGCTTGACCTGACAGGCACACGGCTTTTGAAAAAGAAGAATCTCAAGGTCTCGTTGTGGTTGCGTGAATGCAATGAGCCTCTGCGACAGCGTGCGCGCCTCAGGGTTGCAGACAATGCCAAGGCTGGATTCCACATTCACTCGCATCAAGCCTCGCTGGCGGCGCTAGCTATGCTGGCTGCACTGCGAGCGCGAGAAATATCTGGCCGAACGCAACATGCTCATGCACCATTGGCAGCGCCAGTCTCGCACAGTGCTTTATGTCACCCTTCTGAGGCAGGCTCTCCCACGCGAAAGAGGAGGGCTTGCAGCCTGCCAATATTTTTGGGAAAAGAAACCGTTGTTCGGAGCTGTTTTAAAGATTCAGGCCTCCTCTGTAGTTCCCTCTCTCGCAGCTCCATCCGACAAGACCTGCGATGGTGCTTAAAGTGACCAAGGATCTATGTGGCCGTGCTTGGGCGGCACTAACTCACTAGGTTCCGTGCAAGCCGCCCAGTATGGCGAAACTTCTCCCAGGACCTCCATCCATGCAAATGTGACAGAAACAAGTTCAGAGCCCAAGGAACCGAGCCCTTGGCTTGTGGCCGGATATCTCTGGAATGGCCACTGCCCGCTGAGGGCTGATAGCGGCCACCTGTATTGACTGTTACCGTTCCAGGACTTGGCGCTGCTTCTTGGATGTAGATCATCCGCAGTTCTGCAACTGAGCTAACTGGGCTTCAGGCCTTGTCATTGTTGTAAGGATCGTAAACTCCAGTGTCACCATGTTTGGGAACAGCACCTGCACAAAAAGCTGGCTTCACTCTCAGACCGCCTGATCACACGACCAGGCGAGGCAACTGCGCCGGTAGGACCGGATCCGAATCGCCCAAGGTAGTAGGCCCTGTGCGAAACAAACAATTCCTATTCTTATTACTATTACTATTGCTCTGACGATTGCTCTTACGATTACTATTACGAATACGATTGCTATTGCTACTACTACTATTATTTCTATTATTCCTATACTCTTATTACTCTTGATACGATTATTACTCTTCTTACTATTCCTACATTACTACTACTACTACTACTACTACTACTAAGTCTACTACTACTACTACTACTACTGCTACTGCTACTGCTACTGCTACTGCTACTACTACTACTGTTATTACTACTATTACAATTACTAAATTGTGTAGCATACTGGATATCTAACAGCCGAAGCTTTCACTCCCAGCACAGGCCTTCTACAACGAGTCTCTTTGATGATTGCATCCTGGCAGAAACGACGAGTTCACCGTGAAGACCACCAACAGCTTAGGCGTTGAAAGCAAGTGGCTCTCCACACCAGGGTTGACGTGACCTCCGTGCACTCTTCTTAGCAAGGACTCGCACACAGCCTTTTTCAACCCATCTTAAGCTGAGCCACACCGGACATCGCAAGGATGGCCACGCTCTGTGGCGGCGTTGGCTTTCAGTTGTAAATATGGGAAGGGTTTTCGCTGCTTGGCCAAGGTCAGGGTTTTGGCTGTGTTGTTCACACGGTGCACCTTCACCTTTGCATTGCTGCAACATCCATGATCTGGGAGGCCGTACTTCAGGGCAACTGCAGTGAGACTGCTTTCATTTGAGACATGTTGGATGCGAGGCATCTGGCCAAGTGCCATTTTGCAAAAGCAGCTCTGACTTGCGGCTAGGCCGGGATCCAGAGATTAATAACCCGGAGACGTCTTGCAGGCTGACTTCAATCCGGCTGGCCATTTGACTTCAAAGCCTAACGGATAGCTGCAGACGTCTCCTTACATTAGCTGCCGAGCAAACTTTGGCCAGCATGGCTCAGGAATCAGGATTCCCGGCTCTAGACCTCCAAAGGCAATACGCCATACGTTTTGCATGTGAGTGAGCAGCGAGCAGCGAGCAAGAAAGGCTTTCAACCTCCGCCAGGAGCTTACGAGCTCCGGTGACTTGAAGACCGGATGCCTGGCAGTCAGCAGTCAGCAACATGGTGACGACCAGCCTTGGATGCCAACTCTCGCCTCCGCATCAGCCACGGCCTTCTCGATGTTCTTCTTCTGTGCCCTGGCACTCGACACGCCCCCAAAATCCAGACAATGCTCCACCGGGCCTCACAGCCGAGAGAACCGACTCCTTAAGCGAGTCACCACCTTTGCCAGGAACGGCTCAGGTGCAGCGACAAGGCCCGTGGCAGGCTTGGCCGAAGACTCTTCAGCATGGCCAGAAGCAGAAAGGAGCAGCGGCTGGATGCAGCCGCAGCTATGTGGGACCTCAGACAAGCCCACTTGTAACCAGGTTCAAGGATGCCCTGAGTTCCCCACTTCAAGCACCGTTCCCACAGGGGCTGCGCCATTTTCGCCCCCTTGCAGTTATAAAGAGGACTGATCCTTTGACCTGGATTCTGCTGGGATGGGCCTTGTCAGGGTCGAGCTTCATCAAAACCAGGAAGGTGTTGATCACCGTGCCATCATTCAGAAGGCCCAGATCCTTGCCGGCGGCCTGAAAGACGTTTGCCGTGCAAACACTCCCGCGCGTGTCCTCATGCTGCCTCCTTCTCTGCAGATGCCAAGAGGGCATCCACAAGCTGGGCATCCCAGTCAGCTGCCAGGTAAGCAGCAAGGAGCTCCTGGTGACAAAAAGACCTTGAGACTGCGGCTGTCTTCAACCTGACCTACTCCCAGCCTTGGCGTGCTTGTCACCAGCAGCCTTCAGAGGAGCCCTGCACTGCTGCACAAGTCACTAGGCAGCGTCAAGTGGAGAGCTTCGCGCAGATGTGCATAGATCTGGGTTTCTAGAGAGTAGATACTCTTCTTTGCATGGTGAGTTTGCATGCCAGGCGTGACATCCCAAAAGGCACCTTTTACGAATGACAGACAATTTGGTCCCTCGTGCCTGGTGCAGTATCTCATTCGGACCTGTTTCCTCCTTCCATTTCTTCACTGACTCCATAAAGCAATATGGCATTCCCTTTGTTTCATCCTTCCTGCTGCTTCGCAGATGAAGGTCCGCAGTAGATTCAGTAGATGCGCGCTTGCACACACATGGCAGTCAACAAATCAGCTGTGACCGCACGAAACCCCCCAGGGCCCCAGCCTGACCAAGGCCTTGCCAAGCGCAGGCCTGATCGGTGCTGCTCGCTGCTCGGCTTCAGAAAAAGGCTTCATCAAGGGCTGCGGCTTTAGTGTCCGCAGCAGCTCCTGCCGGCGAGTCTCAGGAGCCTGCTATCAGAGCTTCATGCAAGCCCTACACCGGATGGACTCTCTACCAATGCCTTGTGCGAGGTGGGAGATGGCAGTGCGGCACACTGGCACCTCAGCTTTTGCGGCTGCGTCTCTGCTCAGCCATGCACACTGTTGGAGGAATCCGAGCATGCGGCTCATACGGAGAAAACAAGTGCGTGTCGTTGGGCCTCAAGACTATACATAATCCTTTCATCACGTTTGAGAATGATGAATTTCGAGCCCGGTGCTTCTGCCTGTCGTTCTACTGAATTGCTGATTGGCCCCGCCGGTGAGCCATTTTGCTAGGTGCAAACAATGTACAAGGAAAATCTGAAATCGCATCAAAATCTCTTAAGCCGAACTATGGGAACACATGTGTGCTGCTCTCCTGCGCGACAAGAAGCACCCTCCGTGGACTTCATCTCAGGTCATGCCACAACAAATGACAAAAATCCTGGCCAGCTTAAACAGCTTAGCAGTTTAGCAAATTCGGAGCAGGATGAATACTTCAGCTTGCGGCTAAGCAACCGCAGAATCCAGGCGAGAACTTTGTGACCGTATTTGTCGAAACAAAGATCCGTCATGTCCTGCGACAAACCCTTTGCCACGCATGCTGCCCTAGCTCTCACTGATCATTGCCAATCTATACCAAGAGCCACTGCTTGCAACGGAGAGCAAGTCTAGTTTACCGGGTGACTGACACTTGCTTGGAGCATTGCAGTTGTGAAGGCCCAAGTTCCTTGATCCATTCGGCCAGCATAGTCTTTGAGAGCATCACGGTGTCATCCACCGTTGTGGCCAAGCGAATCATGACCTGATGCACATCTGCAACCTTTGTAGCATCAATAACTGAGAATCTTCCCGAGCACCGAGCCACATAATCCACTGAATTCATGGCCAAGGCGGCGAACTTGCCTTTCACATCCCTGCAGAACGTCTTTCTTTGCTTGGCATTGGCGACGCCGAGAAGCCTCAGCAAAGCCTGGACAGCTGCCGAGTTGTCGCAACAGCCAAGAAACTCAATGCACCAACCTCTGCACCAGGCTTCGAGGAGAGCAAATAAGCCGCACCATCCTGACCGGGACTCGTGAAGGTCCACTCACTAGAAATAATCAAGCCAAGGCAGCCGCCATGCACTGTTCGGCCAGCTGCGTGAGCTGCGCATCGGAAGCCACTTCACAGACTGCCTTGCGCGTCTCCTGTCTGTGATCCTCCAGATCCTCCTACTGAGCTCGTAGCGTTGCCTGGAAGAGCAAGTGCACGATGTCGTAGCCCAACAGCTCCTGCGCGGCACTGCCTCTAACCATGCCGAAGCAGATTAACCGGGGTCACGGTCCTTTTCGATGGCCTTCTCCACAGCTTCTTCCAAATGATGCGCAATGTCTCTCTTGTGTTGTTCTGTCAGGTCCTGCGGCTCTCAACGGCAAAGAACAAGCAGACATGCTTTGGCGCTGTCCCTGTGCCTCGGCATGCAGTAGCTGTCGCAGCGGCTTACTGCTTGGCAACTCAGGCCGCAGAAGTGCAACCGCCTACGGGGAAGCTAAGATGAAGAAGGGATCGCTTGGAGGCGAAGGGCCGACTTCTCATGACAACATGCTGTCATCTGTGCGGAGATGCTTGCGACGCGCTCGTCTCAAAAGCGCCTGCGGAATGGCTATTGCGTGAAGGATCCTCCTTTTGTCGACAGGCCTGACCTGGGCATTGCAGGACAGTGCGCGATTTGCAAGGTGACACGTCGCTCGAAGCAAGGCCATGCGGCCAAAAGCAAGGCACCGAGCAGCTTTGGAGAAGTAGATGCCTGGAACGGCAGAAGGGCATTGATGCCCTGACGAAGCAGCAGGCCAGACTAAGAAACAAGCCGTTGATGACTTTGCAGCCAAACCGATGGTAGAAAGTCGCGTGCAGATTCTTACCTCAGATTGCAATGGGCCGGCATGCTGGAAATTACTACACCTTCCTTGACTCTCTTGTCTGGGGGGACGTAGAAAGTGGAAGTTGCAATTTTGAACGTGCGGGTCCCCGCACCATGTGTTCCACGCAGGTTGACCTACACAACACATGAACGCGAGGCAACGCAACGCACGCAATAACCTGCATTGGAGGATCAGCGTACGTTCCTGAAGTTGTCGCGTGTGCTGCACTGCCATCATTTTGCCCCCTTTTCCATGGTCTGAGCGTCCATGCTCCAGGCAACATACGTGGCTAATCTGGCGGCAACGCTAGCATGTTCTACATGCTTGGGTTCAGTCTGAGAATCTCTCTCCTTCATCACAGCAGGGACACCGGTTCAGGGTGTCAATTTGACATGGTTGTGTTGCCAGTTGCTTTTGAAGGGTGGTGGCTATTGGTGGCCGCATATGATCTTTCTACCCATCCATGGGGATAGATTCTAAAAAATACGTGCGTCTGGCATGGCGTGAACCTTTTCATTGCAAACTTGCTTCACTTCTGCTTCAAAACGGCTTTCTGCGCAGCAAATTTGGTGGGCTTGGCCTCCTGAGTTACCTGCAGTTGGTCTATCCAATCCCTGGCCTTCGCATCGGCTCAAAGCACACTGACGGTCAACGCAGGTGTTCCTGTTGATTTGGCCTTAATCCCCTCCCATGCTAAATCCCCCAACCCCCCAACAATGAATATTCGCAATGTAATATCATGATATCTTCTATGGTAGAATGTTCACTTGAGGGGTTGGGGGTCATTATTAAGGGTTTGGCATGAGTGTCCTCGCATCGTCTTGTAAACATGGAAAGTTCTTTACACTACACGCTAAGCCCTCTTTGTTGATTAGTAATCCTACTTGTGAAAGTCCGCGGAGCTCTGACCACACTAATATAATTCCAGCTTCCGTTCAGTTGTCTATGTGCTTGTCCATTGTTTATTGCATTCGGGTAATATCCACTGTATCACCCAGTTCGGGTTCCATCCACAAAGGCTCTGTCACAGCCAGGGCTAGACCATAGCGGTCAACAAATCTTCGACAACCCCAAGGTCCCGTTCATTCGTGCAGTGCCGAGATGTGCAGAGCAGTGTGTTGTACAAATATGTTGGAACGTGTCTTGCATGTTTCTTCTTGGGCTGTGGTCAAAATGAGCGTGTAGCGGTTGTGGTGCAGTGTGATGCAAGGAGGTGCTGGCGTCCTTCCACCAGTGATTCAACGTGATCCTTCTAACGAACCCAGCCTGCCAAGAAGAGCAACAAGCGACAATAGCCGTGTGAGGCCCCAGTCGATCTTACACAAGAAAAGAATCCAAGTCTTGGAACACTTGCTTACACACTGAAGCTTTCAAAAAGTATGTAATGAGCTGCAACAATGAGTCAAACTCTGCGAGCTAAAAAGGCTTCACAAACCTTAGCAGCAGGTCTGCAGCTGCGAAGCTCGACGAACGCACACCGGACTGGAGTTTAGAGAATTGATCAGAAGATTGGTTCAGGGATCGCTCCACCTGCCTTCAACCCATGTTCCAAAGTTTTGACCCGAAGCAGCTTTGTTTTGGGCAACGGCGGCCGGACAGAGCCGTGGGAGGGTTTGGATTTCTGAATAGCGCCTTCAGGGGGAAAATGCTCCAACGTGTGGCAAAACTAGCATCGGCCAAAAACGCATTTGTTCAAAAACACACGAATCCACTCAGGCGTGTGGCAATTATGTTGGAACCGCACGGTTTACCACACGTTCGAGCGCATTTTGCAAAGGGCCATCTTGAAAAACTTAGATAGAAGCAATGGTCGGCACAAGTATGACCAAATATGCATGGAGGAAGTAAATTCAAAGTTGGCACTATTGATTAGTCTGATTGCCGCTGAACTCTAGTATCCTCCGTATTGCAGGGTGACCCAAACCGAACGGCGAACCGGCGAACCGAACCGTAGTAACCGAATCGTTTAGGAATCGAACCGTGAAAGAACCGAACCGCCCCGAACCGTAGGAAACCGAGCCGTGGGAAGGTTCCTATTTGAAACCCTGTTGGCTACAGCATTTAGAGGTAAATTCAAACAGGGCCATACAATAGGAACCCCTCTACACACTGGCAGCTGCCACGCAGGTGGCCGCTGCTCCGCCGCGATGGCATGAGCTAGCCACAGATGCCGTCCTGCCGCGCATTTGCCCCGACTCCCACCAAGATAAAAGACCTTTGAAGGGTTATATATGGGAGTATCTAGGCCCGGACAACCGTCCATCTTACGCAGGAACCCTACCAAGTTGTTCCCAGCAAAGGTACCGCAGCCGTACAAAACAGTGCACAGCTGGACGAACTGCTTCAGAAAGTCCATGCTTTGAATGCCACGCTGCATCAGTTGGGCGAAAGCCCGCTCCCACTTTGCAAACGCCTGCCCAGCAGTGGGCACCAACAAGCGTTTATTGCGCAGGGCCGCCCGAGGTCACCTTATTTGACCCTGAGGCTCGTCTACGCACCTAATTCTGACCTTAAATTCGCACAATAGACCCTCGGCGCAAAAAGAGCTGCGCAACGTAGGGTAACTTTAAAAAGCCCCCAACGCTGGAATTTAAGGTGACCGCACGCAGTCACCCTACTTTGTGACCACTCCATCAGCCTTTGGCTAGTCAGGTCACCACATATCGACCCCTGATTCGTACAATATACCCTCATGAGACCCTCGCAAAGAAACAGAAGCAGACATTCTCCCTTTCCCCACACTCGCTCCCCGAGCAGTGTTTCCAATCCAAATCGGGTGGATCACGTGAGACTATCCTCTAGGTATGAGCTTCGGCCTGGACATCTGCGCCTTCACCAGCCCCAGACTCGACGAGCTCCGACTTCAAGCATTTCCGAAAAAAAAATCACCTGTCCAACCTCGTTTGAGATTCTTGTGCGTCAACAGGATGTCAGAAGCGGCCGGCGCGCTGAGGCGCGGGCGCTTTCTGTGGATAAAACGGCCAGCACTGCTGAAACTCCTTTCCACAGCAGCAGGGCTTCTGGGCATGGCGAGGACATGCATGGCTGCGCAAGCAATGTCGGGAAGATCCACCGCTCGAAACTTCCACCACAGCAAGACATCCAAGGACAAGGACGGCTGCACAGGCAAAGTTTCCATGCGCTGGATCTGCTGCTCAATGGAATCCTTGATTTGCTGCGCTGCCTCCTCCCTGGCAGCATCCACGCGAACACTGTGCTTCAGGAAGGCCAAACAAAAAGACATCTGCAATGTCGCGCTGCTTCAAAGTGCGCTGCGCTGCCTTGCGGAACTTCGCGCGGCATGTCTCTGGCGGCTGGATCTTGCTGCCACGCCCTCTACCGCGACGACCTCGGCCCCTGCCTGCACCGCCACGCCCAGACGCGAACGCTGCAGCAGCGCCGCGTTTCACAGGGCACGGCTCATCAAGGAACTGCTGCAACGTTCTGTTGTCCGCATGGGAGGCTACTGCACGGAAGCGCTCCTCATCTGTCACGCAATGCAGGGTGATTCCTAAATCGAGGATCCAGATAGACAGCTACATGTAGGAGGTCCTCAGCTGTCGTTCCCCGAACATGTTTCGCAATGACCTTCTTAAGATCCTCAGCCAGAAACACAGCCACTTGTTTGGCTAGCGGCGCCAGATCTCTTCGACTCACAGTTGCTTGCGAACCCTGGAAGCCTGCCACCTGCTTTGGGGCCGAGAATTCCTGCGCAGACATGGCCGGAAAGCATGGCCTGAGAACTGGACCATCTTGTCGCTGTCTCACGAGCAAATGAGCACCAGGGAAGCCCAGCGTTGCACGTATCCTTTTCCATCAGATTGCGCAAGAAATGCTTGAGCAATTTCCTTGCCTTCTTCATGATGGGCGCCAGCGCCTGAGCACTGACAATCTGAGAGTCTTCCAGAGAAAAAGTAGGGAAATTGAGGACTAGCTGCCGTCGGTAAACACAAGAACAAAAAATTCGAATAGGGCGAGTAAAGACTCCTGCAGCACGACGGTGTGCATCGGATCCACCTTCCGACCAGGCCTCTGGCGAGCCTGCGCCTTTGTTGCTGCTGCTTGCCTGGCCTGCGAGGCAGGCTCTTGCGAGGAGGAGGAGGAGGAGGAGGAGCTGCTGCTGCTGGAGTCACTGCTTGAAGATCCCGACGAGTATCAGATTTCTGCGCTACCTTGCGCCGAATAGCTGGCAGCGCGTGCTTTAATGGTAACACATGAGCAACCGATACCATTTATGTCCATGTCTTGGCAGGCTCGCCGCAGAGCGCTTTCATGGTCCGTCACCATTGCCAAGATATCACTCTTCTGTAGCTGCAGCACTTGCATGGCCTGAGTAATTTGCTCCGCGTACTTGAGAGCAGCGCGCAGCGCTGAGATTTCGGAGCAGTAAGCACAGGCTGACTGGCGCTGCCTAAGTTGATCCACCCAGTCCAGCAGTACGCTGACATAATGCTGCTGCGGAACGCATTTGGTCTTCCAAGAGTCGCAGCTTAATGCAAATTTGCATCCGAACTGTCGAGACTTCTGCACAGCAGAAAATACCTTGCCCTTTATCTCTGAGATTTGGCAATCCACCTCCTTCTGGAGAGTTGTTTTTCCGCTGAGCTGCAGAAATACCTTCTGGCCTGCCTCCACTGCACGGACAGGCAGCAGCTGGCCGATAACCATGCGAGTGCTCCAGCCATGAACGGCCACAGTGTCTGCAGGAACACGCTTCCCATCAGAATGACGGATAGACACATCCGTCGGCAGCTTTTCAGGGTGAGCAGAGCGCAAATGATTGATCATTGCCCAAGTCGAACCAGCAGTGCACTTGACCAGTCCATAATACTTCCCAGGAGGGTTCGAATACGGCGCCACCTTTTTTTGTGGTGGTTCGGACTCCCAGCACAAGCAGCAAAACCGTTTTTACTTGGGTTTGAAGCCTTTTGGCATGAAGATATTCATCCGCCCATGAGCGAGACATGCTGCGCAGCCACAAAGGGGTGGCGATAAACTTTCTGGCAATGTGTCTGAAACATGTCTGTCCATCTAGATGAGACCGAGGCCAGTTGCTGTGCAATTGGAGGCAGCGTGCTTATTTGTCTTGAAAGCACAGCAATGCAACAAAACCATGCTTGCGAATCCGAATTTGCGCTTCATGCTATCTGCTCAGCCCTTTCAACAGCGGAATAACAAAAACCCAACATACACACTGTGTAAATGGATGTTTCTGGGTCGCATAAGCATGGGAAGCCCAAGCGATGCAGTCGCCCGCCCGTCGCAGCGGCAGGCGGGCCAGCCACCTCCCGCTACCAGGATCCTGCAAAACAAGCTGACCACCTGTGGTCACCTTATCTTGTGACCACTTGAACATTCTTCGGCTCACATTTGAAATGGCAGATTCGTTTCAAAACCATACCTCCAGGCATCCATATCGGTGGTACAAAGGCCCAAGGCAAGAATTGAAGCACTCACATCTTGCGTGGTTCAAGCACGCACAAATCCAAAGCTAGACCACTACTGCTACTCTACTAGCACTGCTGTCCATTCCTAACGTGAGGAAGCGCCACGAAAGCCCGGCTTCATCCTGCAGGCCTTGAGCGCTAAATCCTACAGTCTTAACTAACAATTGTTAACTAATAATGAGACCCCAAAATAAAAAGGAAAAAGGGGTACCAGTGGGGTACCTAATCCCAGAAATGTGGAAGGAGTGCATTCCGCCAACCCCCCCAAATCTGAAACCCCGACCTCCTCCAGACCCTCAATTCCAAATCTCCCACGATCCCGACCAGAACCTATACCCTAAACCCTCATTCCAAACCGAAACCTCTAAGCCCTAACCCCTAAACCCTACATTCCCCTACCTCTCCACTTAAGGTTCAAGCTATTCTGAGATTTAGGTGCTGGGGCGAAAGCTCGAGGATGCAGGGCTAGGGCTCAAGGTCGAATGTGGAGAACGTGTAGTTTTAGATTTGCGGTTGACCTTGCCTAAACCCTGAACCCAACACCCTAGACCCTAACCATCTGAAACTTCAAGCAAGTCAGCCTTGTGGTCCACAACTCCCTAACGCTGGAGTCTTAGAGCCCAGCTGACCTGGGAAGTGTTGAAAGGGTTACAGGTTTAGGGATCATAGGATCTCCCACTGCATTGTTGGTTTTCTAGGCAATCTACATCCCTGATTAGTAGGGGAGTGGGAGGAATGGGACGCTGGATGACAATGGCTTGTATTGCAAGGGGCATCTATCCAGTCTCCCCACTTCCCTACGAATCCTTGGGATCATTCCAATTACAAAGCAATGCACGGTCGCGTGCAATCTCTGAATTATCAAAATAATTCGGGCTAGCACAGCTCCAGGCCACCGAGGGGTCGTAGTGCACTATAATATAGTATATTGTATTGTAGTATACCATACAATCAGACTATTATATATGTAAGTATACATTTTGAGACATAATATTGTGAAAGGGAACTGAGACCTCCAGGCCCTGGGGTCGAAATGGTAATAAGAGCAAACACCCCGACAAGCGAGGCGCCTGCACCTCCTCAAGTCTCGCACTTGAAGTACACATTGAGCTTTGCGCACCTGAACCCTCCTGTACAATAGGAACCCGAGGAACCGTGGAACCGAACCGTACGAGTCGAATCGTCTCGAACCGGGCAAAGGTTCATAGAGGGTCTTCCTGGTATTGGTTCAGGTAGGAATTGTGGCCTCCGTGCTGTTAAGATCCACAGCAGGAAAGTGAAAACAGTAACTGGTCAAGGGTTACTACTCGTATCTCGGAGCCTGGCCTTTGAGAGCTCACCAGAGTGAGGATGTAAGAAATGTGGCCTCCGGAACTACATCAGAAGGGTTTAGGGTAAAGGGTCAGGTTTTTGGGCATCGATGATCTGGTGACCGTATGCTCTTGGAGCGCGAAAGTTATTATGGTTTGGGGCATGGATGCTCCTGGTAACCGTATGCTCTCGGAACCTTGGACTCATGCGACAAAGCTTGGATGCTATGATGAACAGGCTCTGTGGCTCGGATGTAAGTGAGGTAGCAAATCCAGCCAGCAGAAGTCACAGACTGCAGAACATGAGAAGTCGAGTTGGACAACTTACGGAAAATCATGCCAAAAGGGCCCTAGGCAGGGTATAGGCGCCGCTTGTTTGGGGCAGTCCAATTTCCCAGTCCCTCCAGCTGCTCCTGCGGGCTACGCTCAACTTGCACAGAGGGCAAGGAATCTGCGCAACGATCAAGCCCCCTCCCTACCTAGCAAAGTTTCCGTGGCAGTGCCACCCGAAAACATTGCTCTGACAGATCGTCTACAGGGATGGTGGGTAGAAAGAGGGTATGTTGCTGAAACTTTTGCTGTGGGGTCTGCATCATGCCCGTTTCTCGGAGCATTTGCCATGTTAAGACAATACCTCGCCGTTTCGGGTCTGGATGTTTCCGGCATAGCAGTACTCAAAAAGGCATGTAAGCGTGGTTGTCTCATCTCACTTGAAAGCAAATTCATTGACTTCAAAGATGCGCAGGCTGTGGCGGCCCACGAGTGCAAAACTACTGCAGCTCTGACAGGCTAAGAGGGCATGTGAAGAGATGAGCTAAATCCAGGCCAGTCAGTGTTGAAGCTGATATCGCTTGTCAAGGGCAAGAATGAGGGAGGCAACTCATCCGACAGTTGTCTTCGCACCAGGAAGGGCCAATGCTCAAAGAGTTCCTCTCAACCAAAATCCCTTCATCAGAGGTCCCTACGCGTAAGGCTGCGTTGGTCACGCGCGTCATGAAGCTGTTCCGGGAGGCTTTGAAAGGCTGAAGGGCCCAAGTGGATGCAGATCATAATGTGATATGGCTAGCTGCTGGTGTTGTTGCTGTTGGCTTCTTGTCCGTCGTGAGTCTCAGTTGCTTCATGCTGTATTCACATGTTCTCGCATCATGCAGTGGGTGGCCGAGCACGTTCTGCAAAACTGGGCGGTGGATTGATGCATGGCTCACCACTGCAGTGCGCGATTCCGACATCACACAGCTGGTGGACAGGATTACGGGTTCCCAGGTGCATCAACAGTCTCACTGGCTCTTTGGAGCTGCTTCCTCATTTATCTGGCTAGCCGTTGCAGGTAGGTCAGGGTCGCATTTTTGGAGCCGCAGCAGCCACTCAGCCCATCCTCCTGATGAAGTGTCGCTTTAGACTAGGAATCCTGGAAAATCCGGAGGGCATAATGTGAAGCCCTGATGGCCTTGGGCCATGGGGTTGAGACTGCTATCTGGATTCTCACGGTCCCATAATTTTGTTCGGGCGGTGGGTTGTAGTTGTGCTGCTATATTGACCCATGCTATCGGCAATCCGATTTTCCCTATGGTGTTTGTGTTGCACTGTAAGTTTAATCATTCTGTCAGGTGCGGGGGCCTCAGTTGTGGATGTATCTTGCCGTTCTTGGGTCGAAGAACCCCCGTGGTTTAGGCCGGCGCTGAAGGCGCTCTTAGCGTCGCAAATGCATGGGCTGCGGGTGCTTCAAAACAGCATTCATTTGTTGGACCTTGGCCGTTGCTGCTGACACGTGTATATGATGACCAAGATCTCAGATCCCAGAAGCACTGAGATGGGACTTCCTCTGTACAGTTCGAAGGGCTGGATCTGTTGAGCACGTGCAAGGGTTTCTCACTTGTAGCTACACTTCAATTGCGCAACAGCAAAACTGAAGAGCTGTAATAAAACAAGTCAGTCTGCGTAAGTAACCTATTTGGATCCCAACACGTTGCCCTGCCCGTTGGCGATGGCCCTGTTAAGCCGGAGGCTCGCAAGATCGGGTCAAGGATTGGGTGGAGTTCTAGTTCCGTTTGTTTGTTGCGCTCCTCAAGGCAGAGAGATTGCAAGTCCTGAGCCTTGGTACTGCTTGGCCTCACTCAGTCTCATGTGGCGTCGTCAAGGGTCCATTTTTGAAGTTCTCTTGGAGACAGCGCTAGAAATCCCACCGGTTTGCTCCCTTTGCAGTCGTCTTTGAGGACTCCCCCCTTTAACAGGAAGCACCGATCAGACTGCTGATTTTTTCTGGTCAGGTAGAGGATCCTACGCAGGGTGACCTGCCTCACTGCCAGCACACTGGCCGCTACGGCTTCCTGTCTCTGGAGGAGGTTCAGCGGTTCCTGTGCTGATGCCCTTGCGAACACAAAACATCAGCGGGGAGGCCCCCAGGCCATTTCCATCTGGCCGGCATTCTCACTCAGTCCTACATGCGCTGGTCCAGATCCCGGCGCTCAAGCCAACAGAGTAGCCCGCTTCACTGAGGAGGACATGCAATTGACAAGAATTTGGCAGAACCCCCAGCTGTTCTCTGCTGCGATGGCCCCGCTGGCCAGTGCGCCAGGTTCTCGCATCGCTTCGTTTACTTGTGCTTGGGTTTTCCAACATTGCTCCCAGGCCCCTTAACAAATCTGAACTCCTCTCATGCCTCAAACCCATTCCCGTCTGGTCATGACGTCCACCACGGCACAGAGCGCAAACACTTAAATGAATGGAAATGGAAAACCCCCTACCCACCCAGAAGTACTCAAAGTGGGTGATGAGTTGCGTGCATGTTCTTACCTCAGATTGCTAGGGCAGTATGCCCAAATCTATGACACCTTGCTTGCCACCTAGGCGCCAGAAAATTGGTCCAGAATTTCTCGCAGGTTCTTCAACTGAGCCTTCCCCACATGGGCATGTGCATCCGCCCAGCAAGAGCATGGCACTGCGTGGGCATGCATGGTTTGGGCCTTTCTCTCCTCCTCAGTAGGCTTCCTTGCTGTGGAAGTCTTTGAGGAATAGAGCAGCAGTTTTAACACCACCTTGGCAGTGCAGGAAGTTGTTCTGCCGGAGAAAATGCATCAAGGAATAACAAAGACCTCAAACTGGCCTGGTGCCCGTACCGGTCCTGCGCCATCTTCGGCAGAGTTTCCTTGAAGTGCGTCAGCAAGTCACGCCTCGCAAGCACAGGAAGCAGCCATGGATCCTATCAGAACCACAGGTGCCTCTGCTGCCTAGTGCCCCATTTCAGGCAGGCCTGGTCATCTTCGACACAATCCAGGAGATGCAACAGGCTCCCTGCCAGGCCTCTATGACACGCGCACCAACGTTGGTAGAGCAGTACTGAGCCAGCTTGTTTGATGAGCCTCACCAAGCGTCTGCCCTAAGAAAGGAAAACAATCCTACGAGACGGAACAATTGAGCGTTCTGCGCTTTCGGATGATTTCAAGAATGTCGTTGATGATGATCTCCGCTTTCCGTGTCCTGTGCTCACCATCGGGCCAGCAGGTCGAAAGGGGCGGTGTCGTCAAAACTTCTTTCGCGTCTTAACATGTGCCGCACTGTCTAAACTGACCTCCCCGGATTGATCAATTCGCCTCAGTGCAGCAGGCAGTCACGGAAATCATGTCGACTTTTCTCGTCAAGGTCTGCACTGTAGAGATTCGTGACCTCCAGCTTGCGCTTCCTTTTTGGAGTAAGAGCCTTCTTGCCCTTTCATGAGCATCATAAGAGGTGTTCATGCATGATTGCTGCTTGCAGTTCTCAGGTCCTTCTTGTCCTCCTGCTGGTCAGGTTCTTCTCTGGCTTTTCGCTTTACTCCCTTCCCTTCTGCCTGCAGCGAAGCAGAATAGGCAAGGACAGAAGAGGATCAGGAAGGCCTTTGCATCCTTTTTATCAAGCGAAGCTTTGGCTTTGCCCTTCCCGCTTCCCTTTGCAGCCTTTTTGGCTCCGCTCCTGGCCACAGACAACGACTCAAAGTGGCCGGCTCAAGTGTGCAGTACCAGCACCGAGCCTTAGCTTCGCTGACTTATTCGGCTTCGCTTTGGCGCGAGCCTTAGCCTTTGATGTCTTGCCTGGATACGAAAGCCCTGAACTTGCTTGAGTGTGAAATGATATGCATGGCCTCTTCTCGCGGTCCCCTTAGTGTAGGAAGCAACACCGCACAAGGAAGCCATGATCAAAGGGCAAAGCTGCCTGCTTGCCCTTTTTGCCAGAGCGCGGCGGGCCACCACCCTTCTTGGCCATTCAGGCAAGCTACACTAGCGGCATCGCGAACTAAAGGGTGCAGTTCTACAAGTGAGACTCCTTACGGATTTCCAGTCACATGTTGACACCTCACATGTTTGACTCGGGCGATGGAATGCGAAGCTGGCATGTGTGTGTGTGTCTGTCGTGCAAAATGCCTGAAAGCGGTTTGAGCCGAATGGAAAGCTGATCTACCTGGAAGCGGCTCCTGATGACGTGTCAAAGCTCTCGGCCACGAGCTTGTTTGAACTTGATTTTCAGCATGCTGAGAAGCTACGTCCGCTTGAAAATCCAGTGCTGGCAGAGGGAGACAGGGCTTCCTTGAGCGCCCCGTCTCGGAAGCATCCTCTGCAAAGGCTTTGTACACATTTAGTAGACCTTCAGACCTTGCGCGGCCATCTCCTGCGTTGCAGAGGATCGCACAAAGCTGACACAACAAGAGCTGGAAGGCAAACAGCCAGGTCCTCTTGCTTCTTCTTCAGCTCCTCGTTGGCCTGTGACACAGCACCCTCTTTCGTACTTGCAACCATCCAAATTGTAGAGCAGAAGGTGGAATCCTATCCACAGGCTTTCAACCCCGCAGCTGAGACAGCGACCTTCACTTGCTCCATTCCCTGCTCTCCATAGACGTCTGCTGCCATACCGAACTTTTCTTGGAACCTCGGGACGCAGGCAATCAGCTCCGGTTTGGCAATAGAGGATCAACAGGATCTGGCTTGGTAAGAGCAGAGTTGTCCAGAAGAACCTGGCACGGTATTGTATGGTTGCATGTCTGCTGCATTGCAGCACTGTGGAAAAAGATATCGCAAACCCCTTCAAGGATGCCAGAAAATCCTTACCCTTCTTGCCCTGCCAGGCAGGGTGAGCACCACTCCAGATGTCAACCTTCAGGCGCCCAGTGGCTGTCGACCACTTGAACAAAATCTGCAAAATCATGCAGCGGGCACAGCACCTTGTATTCGGCGACCGTGCCGTTGAGCACGGCAACCTGCCATCTTCAATCTTAAGACATGCAAGCATCACGCAATTAGGGCCCGCCTGCTCTCCCTTGTAGTAGACTGGACCTTTGCTGGATCCCAGCGCGCACAAGACAAGTCTCATTGATGCATTCAGTAAGAGGGTGGCTGGACTCAAAGCGCTTTGGGCGCTCAATCACCTCCTTCTTGCCCTCACCTGAGGTGCTCCCAAGCCAGCGTCCATGGCTTTCAACAGCAATTAGCTCGCGGCCGCTCTTGTCCTTCTTTTTGCGTGCTTGAGCTTGTGCTGCTGCTGCCCTGAAACATAGAAGTGATATGCCGACAAAGCTCAACTGCCCCAAGGTGTTTTTGGCGCATCTAGGTGGCTCGACTTGAAGTCAATCTTCTTCATCACGTTGCCGGCATGCCAATCGCGGCCTGATGCCGGTCGAATCAAAGGCAGCTTTATCTCAAACATCATAAAGCCGGTATGACCAATGTCTTCCTGATCTCGGGAGCTGGCCACCCTCGCGGGCTACGAGGCTGCGAGCAGAAGATGTACTCCGGACGCCACCAGTGACAAAGGTGATGGCTCCTTCAAAGGTGTCGGACTTTGTAGCTACAAAGCCACAGCTTCTTCCCTGGAGCTGCAGATCTTCATCCGCCTGAAACTGCGCTGATCACTGCGCAAAGGACCGCAATCAGCAGGGCAGCGAGGACACCCTGTCAATAGCGAGAACATGACGGCATGTGCTGGCCGAGCCTACAGAGAAACAACTCCTACTCAGTCACTGCCTTGGCAAGCTGACCGCGTCCTCTGCCGCGCGCAACGTGAGCCATGTAGGACCTGCACGCCATCGGCTAGAGCCGGCTCGATTCCTCCTCAACCCGCTACGCTCGTCAACAACTACTTGCCCAACTACCAAAAAAATGGCAGCCTCGGGAAAGTACCGGCGGCTGCGATGCCGTTGCCGCTAGCTGCCAGTTTGAAAGCCGAAACTTTCTGATCAAAACAGGCAACTCTAAAGCAACTCATGCTTGTGGCAGGAGGCTGAGCAGTCTGCAGCAACTTGCATCTCCAGCTGGGGCAGGCATCGTCGCACAGCTTTTTGATCTAGAAACGTTCGAGTGTTAGATTCGGAGCACAATCACCGCCTTGGCAGGACAGACATGGCCCCGAAGTGACCATCACATGGATTGGCAACAGGCGCTCTGGAATCCTGGAAATGAACTGCTGCAAACTTATGCTGGTCTGTAGCATTGATGCCGGCTGGTAGATACGAAGCTGGATGTGGACTCTCCACTATTTTCACTCAGTTTCGGCATCACTGGGATCTCTGTCTGCCACTTTCAGGAAACTTTCCAAGTTTCTCATTGGGGTCAGAGACTCATCGCTATCCACCGCTGCCACAGAGCCTGGTCAAACAGAGTTGTGTGCGAATGCGTGGTAGAATTTTCGAGTCTTTATTGTAAGGACCTTGGCTGACTGCCCAATTCAAGTATGGGGCTTCTTGAAGTGGAGACATGATATCCACATGCTTGACTCCTCCAAGGATCTGCACATCAAAGATCACTTCTCTAGGTTTTGGTATCAGTGCGACCACCTCCCTGATGCCTGGGCACTCGCTCTCGCGACTCTCCCGGCGAGCCCGCAGCTCAGCACGACGAGCCTCTACCACGGCATCCTGAAGAAAACGCGGCAAAAAAGCTCCTACAATTCCTTTGCTGGCTGTGCTAACATGGTAACACCCCAGCGGACCTGCTCGAGGACCTCTTTCAAATGTTGCCGCCGAAGTTCGCAAACGCTCTCTGTTGAGAAACCTCGTAGCCACAAGCCGTGCATAGCGCACAGCAGGTCATCTTCTGGACATGTTGGGCTGCGCAAGATCTCGTAAGCTTTGGCAACGCTGTGGACACCCAGTAGACAAGACTCCAAGAGCTGCAAGATTGCCAGAGCAGTTCGAAAGAGGACCTTGGAGCCCTCGTGCAAAAGACAATCCAGCACCCGGTGCAAGCTAGGATTTGGCAGTGTGTTCACATACAAGCACAAGAACCAGCCCATCGTAAATGGGGAAAGGTCGATGTCATGCTCCACGAGATGTGCATGTAGCATGGGCAGATGAAGCTTCACAAGGCTTGTGAGCACCAGCATGTCTACACGGACACCAACCATGTTCCGAGTGTAGTAGTTTTCTGGCAGCATGTCCTCAACAAGGCTGCAGAGAATCCAGAAGGTGCTTTCCTCATCGCAGAACTCAAGCAGGGTCGCCACGATAAAGTTCATGGACTGGCAGTATCCGATCTGCGGGTTCTTGACGGCAAAGGCCAACAGAACTCGTCGCAGGGGTTCCAGCAGTGCCTCAGCACAGCCTGTACGCGGCACATCAACATCAATAACTCCGGACGCTTCGTTCTGCAACAGAAGACCCTGGGCTGTGAAAGAGGGATATAAGGAGTCAGGGGTTTGGCCAAGCTCTGCAGCCACCTGGCTCTTCTTCCCGATAGCACCGCTGCAAGTGCTCCAGACGGCGCAGCGCAGAGCAGGAGGAACTCCAGCACGCACTGCCTTGCTCACTCTTTCCCAGTCTCGATGTTGTGCCTCGGAAGGCCCAGACTTCGCTAGTCTGGACCAAATGCTCTTGCTGGCTGTTGGGCGCCGCCACAGCTCACATGCGCTGGACATGGCGCTTCGCTCGCCTTCTCGGAAGCCGCTTGTGCTGATCGATTCCCAGAGATCCTGCCATAGCGCTTCTGGATCCGATGGATGCGAGGCCGGCGATGCCGGTGGAGATTCTGGGTGCATGGAGGCTGGTGAGCCCACCTCAGTGTCCGCTGGGCCGCCAGATTTCGGCGGCTCCGTCTTCACCGTAAGCCACATGGACAGGGCTGAGAGGCGCTCGCGGAGACGTTGCCTGTAAGAAATTTGTGTTTGCCCGGTACAAGTTGAATAAGAAGCCTCTTCAGTGCCTCTTCAGGACCTGGTCTAAACTACTGTTCGAAGGAGGGTGAAATTCATAAATGGACCTGCATTACAATAGGAACCCCACTTAGGAACCTGTATCATAGTGAATTTAGCAAAAACTTCAATTGCCTGCGAGACCTCCGTGGCCCTGTGAGGAGCACTTGCTCGCTCTCCTGGGCGGGATCGCCGGCCTCAGGCCGGCTCCCTTCATTTGCCATGAGAGGGCCGTGCGTGCAGAGGGGAGGACGTCAAGACCACGATGACTACGCATACTACGCCTACTTCTGCTATCGAACCTTTGGACTGGCCGTGATTCCTCATATTTGGTATTACATTTTACAATTGCAACAGCTGATGGGGGCCGACCAACCGACCAACGACTGCGTGAAGATCCTCAACAACCTGTGGCCCTTGAGCTGCAGGGTCGCGGGGAGATGCAAGCGTGTTTGTGGGTCTCCTGCAGCTTGTCAGCTCTCTGCGCTGTCAACACCTGAGAATCGAGGGCCGAGCAGCTGCTTTGTTTCGGCTGCTTGCCTTCAAGGGATCAGCATAGCCATCAGTGCGTCCACTTCTCAGTAGTGACCGGGAATGACCCACGCCTTCATTCCAAATGTTCACGTTGCTCACTAGAGCTTGGGCAGATACAAACTTGAGCTCGAAAACGGCAGCTGGCGTTGATGATCCCAGTTGTGGTGCAACACCCCCATCTGCGCAATCAAGTGCCTTGCATGCTGACAGCTTTAATTTCTGCACAGGTCTTGGTCTCGGCGAGAATGCCCTCTACTTCTTGAGTTAGGAAACATTTTGCGGCTGCGAATGTTTGTGAATGAGAGCACAAGTACAAGGCATCCATCGGGGGCTGAGAACACAAGGCTGGCCTCAATGACCTCTGCCCGAAAATGCTTGGAAAATGCTGTCGGTTTTTCAAAAGATGTCCACACCAATCTTCCAGCTTTGGAAAACCCTAACTCCGGCGCTTGCGCAGGATGAAGAGGGATGGAGTGTCCATGACGCGAAGGCCGGCATCTACAAATCTCTGCTTCCAGGTCCCAGCACCTGCACTTGAGCAGCCAAGCCCTAGGGAAGCCTCTCGAGTGCTCAGCTACAGCTAGGCCCTTCGAGGCCTTTGGTTGGCTTGCGGAAGACTTCAATCCCGAGGATGGAAAACACTGTCTCCTTGAATGTCACCCTGGCAACCAGCGCACACACATCACCACAAAGACATCAAGGCTCGGGGCATGTGGGACAGAAGCACTCCCCTCCTGATCTCGGTGTCATTGAGCACTTCCCGTTCTGCCTTGCAAGCAGTGAAGACTTGCCAGGAAGGAGACTTCGCATGCCGGTGTTCCCCAACATGCAAACAAACAGAATCATTAGAATAAGAGACTTTTCTACATGGAGGTGAGCACATGCCGAGGGATGTAGGTCCCGTATGACACATTGTTTGCAAATTCAACGATCAGCGACCAACAGTGCCCAAAGTATGCAGAAGCATCCTCTCCTGCAGGGCAACCTTGACGGGTCCAATCTCCACAGCGTTCACGAAGCGAACATCATCAACAAAGGTCTGCCTCAGACACAGAGCCACTTCACATCGAACATGTCCGCAGGCAGCACTGGGCCGAGGCACGTCACGTCACCCACGAAGGGACCAACTTTACCGTTGGAACTTCCTTCCGCCGTGCCTCAGAATGGTCTCTCACACAGCTCCGCCGAGGCTGCAGCTCGCAGGGCTGACAAGAGGCAGTACTGCAGATCCTCAGCGCACTGAGCGCAACGGAAAGCAGACTGCAGCAGACTCATCAGGGCTGCAAACTGCAAGCAGCTCCAGCGAAGTCTCCCAAACTCCTTCGAGGGAAGCTCGAGCCGGGTTCGATGGGCATAGCGCTTCCAAATCTGCCGCGGCAGCCTCCACCTGTGCCACAAGAAGTTGTTCATTCTTTCTTCCAAGTCTGATGTCAGTGTTCTGGGATTCTAAACGTGACAAGTCAAACCTAGCCTTGAGCCAGGGCTTCATGGCTACTGTCTGTTGATCTAATGTACAACATCAAACTGCACTGGCAACTGCCTCCTCCTTTGTGGCATCGCTGGCCCCGACACCGTTTTTTGGAGCCTGAGAGCACGAGCAACAGTCAAGAATAACCCTTGCAGGCCAAAAGAGCAAACACCACAACAAGCCTCATCACAAGCTGCCAACAATGCCTGCCAATGTACCCGGTTCAGCAGACAACGACAAGAAACCAGGGCTCAACAATTGATGGCCTTCTTCCGCTTCAGGGCTTCCTGTCGATCGGGTTGTCCAAGTGTTGCCAGCCACTCCAACGGAGCAAATGCGCCTCGGAGTGCTACCAGGTTTTGCCGAGTTGGCTAGCTTAGCCAACTCTTTTCCTGGGCAAGCCAAGGCTCTTGTGGCGGCACTACGCTCTGCCAGAAGATCTCCAAGACGTTCTTGCTTGTCGAGGGTCGCAACTCCGCCTTTCAGACTGGCAGTTGGCCTCTCATCTTGCAGCAGCCTGTCGCCCCTGGCCTAGACCTCCATCATTGCAGCCACCCAGATATACCGAAGGACCCAAGTAGACTGAGGGCATAGAGGTACGGCCCGTGCGTCGGCCAAGCTCTGCCCGCACGGCATACCCGTCCTTGGGGCCATGCTGATTGAAACATGGCTTCTGCAACAAGGCTATTTGCCTCTGAGCCGGAGTGCAGCCTCTTGGTCACACTCATAGACTTCAAATTCCTCGCCATAATCCTCCCGCAGGATTTGTTTCGCCCGCAAGCAAAACGGACAGGTGGAGAACGAGAACATCATGATCCTGTCAGGGCATCTCCCATCGAGGCAGGTTGCCAAACGACGTCGAAAACATTGCTTTTTAGGGCGAGGAACTTGTTTGAGTTGATCTTCTCGTCGATGAGGCTCCCAATCCTCTCCGCATCGTACTCCCCCGCCAGCCGGTCAGCTATGAATTGCTTGGCTTGTGCCAAGGGCCCCATCTGCGACACCTTTGAAATCTGCTGCGTGATCGAGTCTGAGTTAGCCCACTCCTCCAAGCAGGGAGGGCACCGCTTGTGGTAATCCCACATAACCCTGAATTGCACAAACCTGCAGAAGCTAAGAGGTCCCGTGGCTCGCCGGACCAGTTGCCATTTGCATCACTTGGAGTTTCTGAGGAGGCATTCACACGGCTTAGCTCCGCGGCTTCCAATGCCTGAGGCAAGCGGAGCTGAAATCTGAGCCTCGTTTACATTGTAGGGGCAAACCGGGTCTGAAGCCCGTATGTCCCCGCCTGGCCGCTGGCACGCCTCTAAGCCCATATTACCCCGCTTGGCCGCTGGCACGCCTTTAAGCCTCTAAGCCTCTGTTACCCCGCCTGGGCGCTGGCACGCCTCTAAGCCTCTAAGCTTCTAAGCCTCTATCCTTAGGCGCTAAGGCGCTTAGGAGCTTTGATGCCCTTGGTCTCTTCCGGCCCAGGCTTAGGAGCTTATAGAGGCTTAGGCGCCTCTTCCTGGAGTTGTCCTTTTCCCGGGTAGCAAGCGCCCTTGAGGCGCTTAGGCGCTTTTAGACGCTTAGGCACTTGGAGGGTCTTAGGCGCTTTGAGGTGTTCAGGCGCTTTTGGGCGCTTATAGGCGCTTTTAGACGCTTAAGCGCTTGGAGGGTCACAGGGGCTTTGAGGCGCTCATGCGCGTTCAGGCGCTTAGGCGCTTAGAGGCGCTTAGGGGTTGCAATGTAGCAAAAAAGCATGGAAGTACAGACGATTGCCAAAACAAAGCACTTCCATGCACAAAAACCCCAGACTAAATCCAATTGTCCTAACGCATGCCGACAACTATGATTCCAAAACTTTGTAGCATCTTTGAGCCGTCTAGCAGCACACACAGACACACAAACACACACACACACACACACACACACACACTTGTGCAATCCTCCCTCTGGACTGATTGGGAATTCTCCATATTCAGTCTTCGTCAACACAGAGGAGTAGGATCTTAAGAGGATTTAGGCTCTGCCCATGGCTTACCTCTTGCCATGTCTGTCATGC